ATTTTGTGAATTTTATGTTTGTAGGAATTTGGTATACGTTTAAGTTGAAGTAAACGTGCATGGAAATAATTTAAATATTTGATACTAAGTATTTGTAATGCTTGCGGTATGAATTCGTTGGTGACGTTTATAATGTAATAGATGATTTAGAGGTAAAAGTTTTTGGATATTTTATTTATTTTATATGTGGAAATGTTCATATTTGGAAAGGGTAAATACTTTTTCGCGATCAGGTAATTTCATATATGTTCTTTTTACCGGGTTTAAAGATTGAGAAAATTGTCATGTATTTTCGTGAAATTTTTCTAATTTATGAGAAAAAAGCAGTGTACATGGATATAGTGAAGAGTGTGCGCAATGCCATTTTTGTGCAATTCTGGGATGTTTTTTTAAGTAAAAATTTTTTTTAAGTCGGCGTGTACATGGTTTATGTGTATGTGTTATTTTGAAAAACGCGTAAGGAGTATGGTATTGTGCACTTTTTCCCAATTTTGCAGTGAATATTTGTCATGATTAAGCAGTTTTGTTAGATAAAATTTCTAGCATAAGTGTAATTCGGCTAGTAGATTGTTGGAAGAAGTGTTCAGTAGATAAAAAGAAAAGAAACATGTCTTTACTTCGTGAAGACAAAATGGCGGCGGGGAAAAAAAAAATAGAGGGTTGCTGTAGGAGAGTTGGTCGCCAAATTTTCGCCAAAAAATCGCCAAGTTACCATAATGTAAAGATCAACCAAATTGAATAAATAACAATAAAAAATCAAAATTATTGATCGGATACGTTGAAAGTCTCATTAATAAATGCACGAATTAAAATTAAAATTAAAATTTTTAAGACAAATAACCGGAATAAACTATCAAGGAACAACAAAAATCAGCGTTATATTTACAAAATTTTCACAGGACTAGTTTCGATGGTTTTACCGAACCACCATCCTCAGCTGCAAAACCGCAAATGAACAAGATAGGAACAAGATATGGAAGATGTTTTTTGAATAATTTTGGCAGCAGAAAAATTGAAAGTGTGATTTTCGGACCAACAATGTTGAGCAACAGAAGACTTCTGTGTTTCCTTTTTTCTAACATATGTCTCATGTTCCTTGAAGCGAAATTTTAAGGCTCTCTTAGTTTGGCCAATGTAAATTAAACCACACTGGCAAGGAATCCTATAAATACCCCAGGAATTCATATCCGGAATGGGGTCCTTGAGTATGGAACTCGGAATTTTATCGATGGGAGAATAAACAACCCGAAAGTTAAATTTCTGCAAAATATGTGCAACTTTATAGTTAATTGATGGAAAGAAGGGAATGACAACAGAATTTTTATAATCTCCTAAAACAAGAGTGACAAGACTCCAAAACATCTTCCATAGCAGAACTGGATTTTCTAGAGGCATTTCACATTCATAAAAATCTTTCTGTTCTAGTTAACGATCCTAATTCCAATCCAAATTTGCCTTCGGCCTTTAAAGAAGTTATGTTTTAGTTCTGGTTTCACCAACAGATGGCACCACTTTCTTATTCTTGTCCAGGCTTTCTTATCTTATCTAATCATTATTTCCTATCTTGTTCATTTGCGGTTTTGCAGCTGAGGATGGTGGTTCGGTAAAACCATCGAAGGAAGCACTTCCGCAGAGAACCCGGTAAATGTAAACATCGCCAACTTTGGCGATAACAGTTCAAACCTGGTAACCCATCGGATTTATCCTATTCGCTTGTTCGAAGTTTGCAACCATTCCTCTTGTGTTCATTTTGTTGAATTATTACTGTCGTTGTTTGCATTTGCAGATTTACATTATTCTTCTGTTATTTATTATATTTTTTTTCTCAATTTTTAACAACGAATAGATAGAAATATTTTCGTAGTTAGATGCCGGTTCACAGTTCGGGATGAAAGGAAGAAAATACGGGAGGGGTGAATGCTAATTTGTAACACAGCTGTTTACGTTGTGTTCTTAATTATTAACAGCACTAAGAAACATGAGGTTTCCAACTTCTAAAATAAGTCAAAATGTGCATGTGCATTTTAAATAATTAAGTAATGCTTTTATTTTTATTATTGGTCATTGTCATCTAAAATTATGAGCATAAATCAATTTTTATGGCTTAAAATTTTAACAAGATTATATATTGTTAATGCTTTTCTAACAATAACCTTTCAGAGGATGCAGGTGTGACATAAATACATGATTAAGTTGAAATAAAAAATATTATTGATTACCTAAAGACACAGAATAGTTTGATGCATCAAAATTGTTATTGTTTTCTGTATTTCTGGAATTTAAAAGACAATTTTTTTTCATATATCACGTTTAACCGCTTAATTTCAGTATATTATACTATTATATTTTTTAAATGAATTTTTATTTCCGTTATAAACGCTTAATATATCTTTTCTGTGCTTAACTTGAATTTAATACAAATTATTTCGTACATCACGTTTAAAAAACCGGTTAGTTTTTACATCTACATTTATTATCTGTTGAATTTTTACTACCATATGCTTAATATATTGTTTTGCTTGCTAATTTCAACTTACATGCACTAAAAATCACGTTTACGGCTCGGCTCATCATCGATAAACAGCGAGCTTGGCGATTAAAAATGCAATGGCGCCAACGGGTTCTCTGCGGATGAAACCCTCCATCGAAACTAGTCCTGTGAAAGTTTTGTAAATATAACGCTGATTTTTGTTGTTTGACTTCTGAATTCGTAATTTATGAAATAAAGACACTTATGATCTAAAGGGTACAAATTTACAAAAAAAAAAAAAAAAAAAAGAGCTTAAATTTATTTGTTTACTTTTTACACATTTCTTTCAATGTAAGTTGTTAAGTTGCTTCATTTATGTGATAATCTTCTCTTTAATTCTATGAACAGACATAATTTTGTTTCAGTTACAAGTCCACTGTTTCAAGTCCTATAATTGCTGTGTCGAGAATACCGACTAATTTGTCAGTCGAAATTTTTTCGTTTTCAATAACCTCTGTGTCACTTTCTTCACCATCGGAAGCGAATTATAATGACGAGGAATTTGATTTAAATCGTATCAAAGACGGAGTACATCGAGATGAAAAGTAAGGAATTATAAGCCAGATAAAATAAAAACATCTGTCCTGAAGATAAGGATAATGCTGACAGATCAACTTCCATTTCATTGCGCGCCACGGCGTTATTTTTATTTTAGTTACTTTTCATTAACATTTCTAATTTATGAAGCTGATGGTGGCTACAATTTCTCATTCTATCCATCTCTTGTAATGCTACATTATTGCAAAGAACCTTTCCAGTGAGTTTTGAGCAGTCCAGTTCTTCAATTAATATTCCATCTAATGATTTCACACGAGTGAAGCGAATATACGCTTGACCTGCTGTGAAGAGTTTTTATTTTCGATATATTACTGTAACATTTAAATACTGTTTACCAATAGCCTTTATTAAGACTCCATTTTGCCATACAACATTTTTTATCTCTAATTCGATTCTTGTGGCACTACCACATTAATATACAGTGCTTACTGCATAATCTACAGTGCTTCACAACTTACTTTGCAAAGTAATCGGACATTACATCTGCTTCATCCAACTCTATAAAACTACAATTCTTTAATTCCATACACTTTAAAAATCTTTAGAACTCCGTCTTACTGTTGCCACTTATTTTTGTCAATATTATTTATAAGTTGTCACAACGCTAATTTTTGCAGCACGTGAGAATTCCTAATAAACGGTTATTTATTTGCAAGTCTTATAACATATATAAAAACAGCATATCTTCAGTTTCGATAAACAGGAATAAATAAATAGGAAATTGACTTTAATATGTGAAAAAACTGTAATAACATCAAGTGTCATCCACTACAAGTTTAAAAAAATGTATTTGAACTTGAGTGGAATAAAAAGTATTTTATTGACGATTGAAAATTTGAACAAGATATAGGGAGAGTGTGAGCTAATATTAGGAATTTAAAAAGGGAGGAAAACCGTGCCAGGAAATATGGTATATGAATATCGATAATGCTTATAGTTTAACTGTTATGATTTGAAATAAGATTTCTGAAACAAACGATTCATATAAATAGAACACAAATATTAAAAAGAACCCACCCAAAGCATTCAAATAAAGAATACAACACACCCGAAGAGAATAATAAAATTTCCTTCATAAATTAAATATTCCTAAAAGAATTTTTATTCCATTTTTAATACAATTTGAAGAATCTAGCATTGTATAATAAAAATGCCTTAAAAAACTGTTATAAATATTAAAATATAACAGAAAAGTTCATCCAAATCCACACCATCATAATATAACTGAACTTCCTATTTAATTCAAAATAATATTTTTGGGAGTCAAATAAAATTACTTTCTTGGTGACATGAAATTATAAGAAAGAGAAAAATTTATTCTTTTCATATTCTGACATCTATTTCAAACGGAAAATATGAATATAATTCTAATCATTTTAAAGATAAAACTGAATGTGTTTTTGATGATAATATAAAATGAATGAAATACATTTGAAGGAGTTTTTTTTTTTAAATGCTAATGAAAATGTTAAACTCAGAGCTATAACCTACCATTTCAATTCCAAGAACTGAAATATATATCACAAAAATATGTTAATAAAAATTGTGTGTATATGCCTTTCAATATTTTAAATTTTCTTCAATTTGTTAGCAATTAAAATAATAAATTGCTAATAAATAATAATTATATATAATAAATAATAAAATTGCTAATAAAAATATATTAGCAATTAAAATACACAGATTTAAAAACTAAGCAAATCTGGCACTAAAAAAAAAAAAAAAAAAAAAAGAAATTTCAGTTTAGACTAGGAGCTTTTAAATGTGCACAGAGGGAGATAGTATCATTTTTTAAAGAAACTATTTACATATAAAATTAATTAAAAGTATTGCAGAATAACAGCCATACACAATAATAAAAATTTGAGAACATATGAAGCAATAATTTACTAAAAGATAACTCAGTTATTACTATTTGAAAGTTTTATCAGAACTCAAATACTCTTCGCAAACTTAGGGTATATTTCAAGTAAACCTCGAGAATGCTTTTATAGGCAGAAAATTTCAATTCTGTTGTGAGTCTTAAGCAGTGAGGACAGTAGAGCGAAAATATGGGGATTAAACAAATTTATCGCTTGTGTAAATCCAAACATAAGTTGTATTGATATGTAAAGGAATGAATGTTTTAACACTTTGGTCTGAACGAAAAAAAAAAAAAAAAAGGCGAACCTTTGAAATTACATGAAAAGTAGCAATCATTCAACCACCTTAACGATATCCCTTCTCTACCCGTGTTGCCAGTGGAAATTGTCCATAATTTTTTTCCGCTTCACTGCACGTAGTTTTCATGGCAATTAAATGAAACCAAAGACGCAGATTATGCAGACAGTACCGAAAATCACGGCGAAAACTATACAAAGAAAAAAACTTGCCACAAATAGAAGCATCTGTCAAGATCTGAAAACCACATATATGTCATGCTTGGCTCTTTAGTACTTCACTTGTTCCGTCTACCTTACCGCAGCAAATTAAAAATAAATATTATTATTTTAGCAAATGCATATAGTCTAACATTTTGTCCGTCACTATTTTTAAGCAGTTTCTTTTAAATGTGAAACAGTTAATCAATGAAAAATAAACTACTTTAAAGAAAAGAATGTAATGTCAGTTTCAGACAGTGGTCACTTGTTTCTGAAAGTACATTGCTTTGACTTGAAATGAATGGGAAACAGCTGAATTTTGAGTTTTACAAAAAAAAAAAAAAAGAAAGAAAGAAAGAAAGAAAGAAAAGACATAAATATGATGTTTAACAGCGTTTTTTGTTTCGATAAAATGAATTTATTAAACTTTCTTGAAAAAACAACGGAGCAATGGATTTCCTACGGTAGCGACATGTGCCCGTATGCAGCTCAGGCTCAGAATGTTGGCAAGGCCTTGGTCAAAGAATATGTATTACATAGACATTCTTTGCCTTGGTTTTCTCGTAATTCTTGTCGAACGTGAAGTGATGAAGTCCGTTGACGTTTGACAGTTTCGTGTAATGAATTGCCTGTAACTGAATATATATACATTCTGTTTTTGTAAGATTAAATATTTTAAAATATACTCACCGTTTAAAAATTACTGATTTTATTTTATTGACTTATTTAATTTGTTTGAAATGGTATATACCTAATCCTATTTGAGTATATTTTTATTTCTGTTTCATGATTCAGGTATGAGGTTCATAATGATGAAAACGTTTATCCAACCTAAAATTCTTTTTCTCATGACCTACTTCCATCACTAAATAGCAAAAGAAAACTTAGTGTTTTTTCTCTTAAGAAGCTTTCATACTAAGCAGCACTGAAGGTGAAAAAAGTTCAGATGGTTTTCTGTTTAATTTCGCACAAGGCAGAACTATGTCCAAACCAACAGCTTGCGAATTTAGATTGTGTATTTCACGAATCATGAAAAAGTTCTTAACCTTAAAATTACATAAAGTAACGGAAGCACTTCCGCAGAGAACTCGGTAAATGTAAATATCGCCAACTTTGGTCATAATAGTTCAAACCTGGTAACCCATCGGATTTACCATATTCGCATGTTCGAATTTGTAACCTTTCCTCTTGTGTTCATTTTGTTGCATTATCACTGCCGTTGTTTGCATTCGCAGATTTATATTATTTATTATTATTTTTTCTGAATTTGTTAACAACGAATAGATAGATGCCGGTTCTCGGCTCGGGATGAAAGGAAGAAAATACGGCGGGAGGTGTGAATGCTAATTTGTAACACAGCTGTTCATTCTTAATTATTAACAGCTCTAAGAACCAGGAGGTCTCCAACCTTTAAAATAATTTGTGTTCGTAGGCTGCAAAAATGTCATGCATTTAAATATTAAGTAATCTTTTATTTTTATTGGTTATTGTCATCTAAAATCTGAGAATAAATCAATTTTTATGGCGCAAAAATTTTAACAAGATCATATATTGTTAATGCTTTTCCAAATACCTTTCAGAGGATGGGAGGTGTGACCAATAGATGATTAAATTGGAATAAAAATATTATTGATTATCTTAGATACAGAATGGTTTAATATATTGATTATCAGATGACCGAAGTTTGAGCATCACCTGGTCTGCTGGTGTAAGGAATAATTGTTTTCTGTTTAACTTGGATTTAAAACAATTTTTTTCTTATATCACGTTTAATCAGTTATTTTCAGTATATTAATACTAATTATATATTAAAATGAATTTTTTATTTCCGTTAAATGCTTATATTCTTATGCTTAATATATTCTTCTGTGCTAACTTGAATTTAATACAAATTTTTCGTTATCACGTTAACCGGTTAGTTTTACATCTACATGCTTATTATCTGTGAATTTTTACTACCATATGCTTAATATATTGTTCTGTGTGCTAACTTGAATTTACATGCACTAAAAATCACGTTTGCGGCTCGGAAGCTTGGCGAGTAAAAATGCAACGGCGCCAACGGGTTCTCTGCGGATGAAAATAAGGCAATTTAAATACTGTTTACCAATCGCCTCTATTACGACTCCATTTTGCCATGTAACGTTCTTTATCTCTAATTTGATTCTTGTGGCACTACCACATTAATAAAAATAAATCGTAACGAATACTGTTCAAGAAAACAAGTTTGCATTCCTTTAAAAATTTTCATTTCTGCTTGGAAGGTCAGTATCTAATTGCCTGAAACTCCGTTGATTCATCTTTTTGTGAAATTAGGGAAAAAGAAAAAAAAAAAAAAAAAAATCCTTATTTTTGAATGTGAATACCTTGTTGTTCGTGATACAAATGTTATACAAGAACTAAAGACAAATTATTGAAATATATGAAAAGATTTTGTAAAATGTGTCGTGTTGGTTTTGTTAATTGTAAGATTTGCTTTCATTGTTTTGTATTTTATAAACTCTCACAAAAAATTCAATTTAATATAAAAATTTCGCATTAATTTTTAATTCATTGTATTTTTTACTTCTTTCTGAATTTTTACCTAAGGTAAATTCTTCATTCACCATGCCTCCTTCTGTTTCTATCTGAAATTCTTGGTGAAATGGAATGGTATCTGTAATTCTTGGTGAAGTAAATGCAGTCTAAGATGGGGTATTTATGAAACATATTTTAAACTGCCTTGCTTAATTTAAAGTGTTATTTTAAATATGCAGTTCTAAATTTATGAGCAAACTCATTTTTGTAATTTTTTTCCCCATTACTGCAGAGAAAAGTTCTGATTGATTGATTGATTTTAAATGAATGGAAGTGGGAGTTTCAAAGAAGAAATAAGTTAAATATATTAGGAAGCCAGTATCTTTATTTTTTATTTTTTAAAGTTACATTTACTAAGTTTTAAATGCAAGGTGAGACCGAAAAGTAAGGTGACTCACCCCTCCTTTCGAAAATGAGAACAGCCCCAACACATGCATATTGTGATCTTCGGTATGCAATGCTGAAGTTCAGGGCCATTTGCAAAGTTTCTGGTTTTGTGTTTGTTGTGCATCCGCTTAAACGTTAAAGGTGTTAGTGCATTGTGTAATGGAGCAGAAAACGAATCTGAATTATAGTTTTAAAATGGGTAAAATTGCTACAGAAACCTTGAAATGCTTCAAAGTGTGTATGGCGAAGAAAATTTTTCTTGCAAGATAGTGTTTCGATCTTTTCCATTAAAGTTTGAAGGATGAGCATCGCAGTGGAAGACTGTTGACGAGCAGAACGGTGGCAAATGTTGAAAGAGTTAGGATGTTATTGCTGCAAGATTGCTGTTTGTCCGTCCGAATAATGGCGAATGAATTGAATCTTCCTCTTGAAATCGTCCGAACAACACTGACGCAAGATTTGGATAAACGTAAACTTTGTGCGACGTTTGTCCCTCATTACTTGAGCGATGAACAAAAACAGCAGCAATTGAACTCTTGTGGCAACTTCATCAATGCAGCAGATAAAGATGACCCGTTTTTACAGTCACTCATCACAGGTGATGAAACGTGGTGTTTCGCGTATGATCCACAAATGAAACGGCAAAGCATGGAGTGCGTGGTCCCTCATTGGCGAAATCGAGAAAGTTTCGTTTCGAAAAATCAAAGGCTAAGACAATGTTGATTACCTTTTTCGATGCACAGGGAATTATCCATAAAAAATAACGTATCGGAAGGTCAAACAGTTTAATGGTGAATTTTATTGCCATGTTAATGAAGCGTCTTCTGGCTCATATTCGTCGTGTTTGCCCCCATCTCGCTTCATCAAGCTAGTGGTTTCTGTTGCATGATAATGCACCCGTCATACTGCAGTGTGTGTTAGATGGTTCCTTGCACAGCAAAAGGTTATGAAGTTATTTCACCCTCCTTATTCCCCTGAACTTGCACCAGCAGACTTTATTCTCTTTCTACGACTGAAATTGGCACTAAAGGGACACCAATTTTCAATCATCTCAGACATTCAAGCTGCTGTTACCAGGGAACTTAACACAGTCTCAAAAGGGTCCCTTTTTCAAAAGTTTCCAAAACTTGTGTGAACGTTGTCGGAAGTGTATGGTATATGGCAGGAACTACATTGAAGGACGGTGATGTATTTATGTGTAAATATATAATACAGGTATTATTATGACCACTTTACTTTTTGGTCTCACCTGGTATATCATTTAATGCAAAGATTTGATTGAAAATTTAATAAATCTTCAGAAAAACTGTTTTAGTAAATTTAATTCAGACTTGATGTGTAATATATTTTAAATTTTCAGAATTTTGTGTTCAGAAAAACATACTCTAACTTATCACAAAAAACATGAAAAAAAAAATCTGAAAGGTTTCAGATTTTAAATCATGTCCAAAGGGGCTTTTTTTTAATGTCTTGTGTGTTACCTTATTTTATTAAATATGACGTTCTTGCTCTTAACCATAAATTCAGTTCACAGCAATGTCGCAAAATAATTTTTAAATGAGCATATCTTTAGAATTTCCGATAAACAGTTCCATGCACTGGAGATAAAAAGGTTTTTTTTTTTACCTGTAGAGTGTTGCCATTGCTCTCTTCTAAGTCATTGAGTTTGTTAATCAAAAATTCATTAAAGTTTTACAAAATATGAAATCGATAATAAAACAAATTCCAAATTTGGGCTTTCAGATGCCCATATTTGCAGTAGAATTACGCCTTACTTACAATTAAAATTGGATGGCTCTAGGTTCCGTTATTTTATCATAATGCGAGAAACATGCTACATTTATGCAGATTCTTCATTATCTAATTTCTTCAAATATAATACGGGGTAATAGTATTTGGTGGCAACAATTTGAAAAGTGATATGCCTTTTATAGGGTTCCGTTGCAAAACGAAAACAATAGTCCTTCAGGGACAAAGCCCCTTTGGACTAAAAATATGCATACACTTGTAATTTTATATAGAATTATATTTATGTAGTAGTGCAATCACCTTAATCGAATCGGCTAGATTTTGAGAATACAAAAGAATTTGTCAACCATGCACCTAACCATTTTTCAGTTTTAGCAAGCGTTATTGCCATTTTTGTGTTTGTTCTTTTTGCTACGTTCAAAGTTCCAACAATTTTCATAGAGAACTTGTGGTATTTTTTACTAAACTAGGTTTTAAATTATGTGCTGGTGGAATTTGCATGGAGTTCAAGTAACTGCTGTAACATATCTAGATAAATATATTATTTTGTTCCAAATTCGCTAAAGGAAACAATTAATTTAAATCTTTTAATGCTTAAGCAAACATGTAGAATGTGTGCTACATATAGACAAAATGCTGTTTCTGATGACACAGTTTAAAGTGGTTTGAGAAATTTAAGCACAGAAATTTCAACCTTGAAGATGATGCCAACTTGAAAGACCATTCGCTGTAAACAAGGACCTGTTAAAAAAAGCTGTCTTTTAAAATCCATTATATGGTTCAGGAACTATTAGAGAGAATTACAAGAAGTACAGAACATGATCATTTGAAGAAGAATGAAGTGTAAAAAATCTGTTAGAAGGTATGAGTACCCCATACTTTAACAAAGCAGAATATGGTTGCTCTCGAGTTTCGATGTGTGATTCTTTGCTGAAAAGAAATAGAGAAGCTGCTCCTGTAGTTAAAAAATTAGCTTATTACTGGAGATAAGAAGTAACAGGATTAGTTTGCTGTACAGCATTCAGTACAGTAACTCATTAGTCTAAATTCACAGAATGAAATTCTGAAAAGCAGATATTTTCTTGGTAAAAGTTCGAAAAAAATTGATGGCCAAGATACAGACAGGTGTGCTCCAGTATTGAGAGTTTCTTTTCTTTCTTACTAAATTGCTTACTATGCTAAAGTTGCAAGCTGCCATATTCTTTGATGCAGTTCATAAAGCCAGGTATAATATTGGAATCTGCATTTGAAGCCAAATTTCTTGATATCCATCTTTTAATTTCAAATTTAGCTTTTCCTTCGTTGACAATTATGTGATCTTCTGCAGTGATAATTCAGCTATTTGAGGGATTGAGAAAGTTATAGGACCTAATCTTTAGTGCTGCTATTGACAATATCCTAAAATCTGCCTGTAAAATCAATGTTAACAGTGCTCTGTATACACTAATGTTATAATGAAAAGATCGTGGGTAAACCTAATGAATATCTATCAGCAATATCAAGAGGAAGGCTGCATCTCAAAAAAGTATTGCTTTGTGTGCAGTGAGACTACACAGGAATTGCTTACTATTTTTGTCACCAAATCAGAAAATAAATTTGGAGAAAATACTGTTTCCAAATAGCAGTTTTAAAAGCAGAAATTCAAGCAAAGCAATCGACCAGTTATCACAGTGTTGTCTTCCATCGTGCCAGTGGTCGGCTCCACATTTTGATTACTGTCGAAAACTTATTGAGTATGCTTGGGACGTTTCACCTCTCAACCTTGCTCCCTTAGGTTTTTGTTCCTTGAGAGTAGTACAAAATTCTCTGAAGGGTGTGGAGTTAATTTCTTTGAAGATTTTCCAGCAGCACGTCAATAACTTCTTAGCGAATAAATGTAAAGACTTCTTTAAAAAAGAAATTTTCCACCTGCCAGATTGATGGCAAAAAGTTATAGAGCAAAATGGTGCTTATATGATTTATGCTTTTAAATATTACTTCGTCGGTATTTATCATAAAAAAACTACTGTACATTTAGGATATTACTAAAAAAATTTTGTCTTTTAAACATTTTCATTCTTGTGATTTATTGCATGTTATGTAAATCAAAGTCTGTGTTCTTTAAAAATTCCATCAAATTCAGTACTTTCAAGACAGATAGCTTTTGAGTTTCTTTGTTGTAATTAATGAACCTTGCTATTAATTTAATGTTTCATCTAAGGTTATAAAAATTATTTAAAACTGCCAATTTAAATAATGGTACTTCTATTTTTTATTTGCATAGAAGTTGTTCATTGTATTCATCAATTATTTTTTTCATTCTAATCCTATAACATTTCTAATTTTTCTTGTAAAGGATTTGGATCTGAGAGTTGATATGATATAGTATACGTGTGTGTGTACTACCACTCTAGCTTTCACTATTGATGAGAAAAAAATGGTAATATTTTGTTTTATCAAAATTTTTATGTAATTCAGTTCAGTTTTGTATATGTTTAAATATAACACATATGTAACTGTTTTATGCATTATATGTTCATTTTTTCGTATCAAGATTATTTTTTGAATTGTAACCCGAATTAAAAAATTTACTAAAAAAAGGTTAATAAAAATTTTCTGTGTTTCCTAATATTAGTTAAAATGTTAACATATGTGAGAGGAAAAAATCATGCCCTGATAAATAGTCATTGTTAAAAGTTGGGCATGTAGCCTCAAATGCAATATTTATGTAATATTTATTACATGAGTATTAGACATGAATTGCAGATTTTTAAAATTGTTACTGCCATATAAAGTGATAGTAGTTAATCTTCACAAGTGCATTAAGTGATTAGTAAATACAGTATAAAGTCCGTAATCTGGACTCGTCGGGACTTCGGCGATTCCGGATTATCGATTTTTCCGAATTATAGATCATCAGTTTAAATCTGGTAAGATCGCATGCAGAAATTATGCAATTAAAAATGTAAAACCATAATTTATGAAATAAAGTGATATTATGATCTAAAGAGTATCAAATTTTACAAAAAAAAAGCTTAATATTTGTTTCTTTATTAAACATTTCTTTTAACGCGCGCATGCGTAAAGCATACAGTACACGCATGCGTAATGCATGTAATGTATGCACGCACATTCTCTACGCGCATGTGTAAAGCATACAAAAAAGTGTTTGGGGCTTTTAGGTCCGGATTATAGATCATTCCGGATAATGTACGCCCGGATTACAGACATTGTACTGTAATGATGAACCAATGTATGTTTTTTAGTAAAATGCAAGTAGTAGTTGATGCAGGATTCTGTTTTTTTACTTCCTTGTACGAAGTAAAAAGGAAGTATTGTAATCGCGAAAAGCTTCAGGCAGCATATTTCAGCGAAAATATCCATTTTGACCGCTATCGAATGCAATTTAATGATGTTTTTGCGTGATATCTGTACGTGAGGACAGAATAAAATACCCTTTTCCTACAAAAAAATTATAAAACTGCTTTAAAATGAATTCTGAGAAGAATTTTTTGTGGTGTCTGTACGAACGAATGTATGTACGTACGTATCTCGCATAACTCAAAAACGAGTAATCTAAGAACGTTGAAATTTTGTTTATAGGACTGCTATAACATGTAGATGTGCACCTTGTATTTTGGTTGCAATCGGCCGCACCAAACGTATATAAATATATTTGTATATATATGCACTCTGTTATCTGGCTCAGTGATCTCAGTTTCTTTACTCTTATATGTTTGTAAATTGTACATTTTCTGCTTTAAAAATGATTGAATTATGTTGTTCTTATCTTCCAGTTAAGGTTTTTATGCCTTTAGTAAATCTGTATGCAATAATTTTAGAATTATCAACGATTTTAAAGTTGTTTGAGTGCCGCTAAGCCTAATAATTTTTTTGATGACGGCCATTGCTTGTTTACATTTGAAACTGCAGGATAGTGGATTTGTTGCCGATCTAGAGAAACTTAGCTTCGCAACAACAAAGATAACCCCTTCATTTATTATTTAAATCATGCTTAATCCTTTCTGGAATTTTTTCGAGGAAATAAGTGTTTAAAATTTACTTCGTAATTTTTAATACAGATGTTTTGAGTTTTTATGTATTTTTGCTTTGTCGCTATGTGAGAACTGAATTAATTGAATGAGAAATACTCAATCGTCTGTGAAAAACTGTTTCTTTTTTGTTTTGTTTGCTTAATTTCTTTTATGCATCGTTCTAGCTTTATTATAGTATTTGAATATAACATGTGGCAACGATTAGATAATTCTTTAAATGATATAAATTTTGTGCTTTCTGAGTTATAATATGAACGAAATATAATACTGTTAAGTGAACCTAGTGCCAGAGTGTCGCTATGGTAACAAATATAGAGTATTTAAAAGAATGCATTTATTCTATTGTGGTTTACGTGCTGTCAGCGAAGTAGATTTTATTTATTCCAATAAGTTTAAATGAAATGCAAGAAAAAATATGTATAATTTAATATTCCGTACAAGGAAGTCGTGTTGTACACATCAGATTTTTTATTTCTTTGAATGAAATAAAGGAAGTATTGTAACTGCAAAAAATTTAAGGTATCGTATTTTAACGAAAATATCCATTTTGATATTTTTTTAATCCATTTGAATATTTTTGCATGACATCTGTACGTGTGGACAAAATGAAGGATTCTTTTCTTTTTCCAAAGCATTATATAATGTAGACTTAAAAGAAGAGATTTTTTTCACGATGTCTATACGTACATACATATGTATGTATATCGCATAACTCATAAAACGAGTAATCTTAGAATACTGAAATTAATGAATCTTAGAAATTTTATTTATGGGACTGCTAAGAGATGTAGTCAGGCACCTCCCTATTTGATTGCAACCAGACACACCAAATGTATATAAATATATGTAAACCCACTTTATTACCCGACTTGGTGGCTCATTTTTTTTGTTCTTATATGTTGGTAAATTGCACATTTTTTCCTTTAAAAGTGATTGAATTCTGTTGTTCTTATGTTTTGGTTAAGGTTTTTATGCCTTTAGTTGTTTTTGCATGCGATAATTGTAAAATTATCAAAAATTTAAAAGTTTAAACAAAGTAGTGCCTAGCAAGGCTGCAAAGTTTCCATTTTGTGCACCGAAAAATCTGTCTGCTGGCCAAATTGCTTGCTTTGTGTAGAAACTGTAATTTGAATTCTAAAAATTGTTTTTCTAACTTTATTTAGTATTTTATATTTTTCTGTATTTACAATTTTTAATCAAAATGTTCTGAGTTTTTATGTATGCCTTGCCATGAAGTAAGAACTAAGTTAATTGAATGAGAAATATATCTGTAATGAAATTCAAGGAAGCAGCCCGACTTTTAGGGTCAGTCATGAAACCCTCTATTTAAAGAGTCTTTGTTAGCTAAATATGTATACAGTACAAAGTCCGAAATCCGGGCCTCCATTATCCAGAATGATCTAAAATCCGGACCTCAAAACCACCAGCAAACTTTTTCTCATAGGCTTTACGCATGTGCATTTGATCTCCTCCCCTCTCCGCGCATAATAAAACATCTGGAGAGTCCTGATTATTAATTTCACTTCGACACTAAATAAAATACCTTGTTATTGAAGAAACAATCTTTTTAGCTTTAAACTTGTATCTTTTTAGCTTTAAACTTGTATCTTTAAACTTGTATGATCGGTAATTTGGCTCCGTTGCTTTGTATCTGCTAGGCATACATCTCAAAACGAAACATTTCACATAGACAGATCGTTGATCTGACGCCAACCTGAGGAATCATTATTTATTATACTTTACTTTCATCGCCACATGTTTATCAAAACATGACAAATTGAGTAATGATTCGTGTAGCAACACTTAAGCAATTTATTATGTTAGTAATTGTATAATAAAGGAGTGTGGTAGCTTTTTATGTTGATATTACACTTGGCAATGATTACAGATTTAAGTTAAATGCGCTAAAAAATGTTGACGAGGACGAATTTTCCAAAAATGTCTTTCCATATGCTAAAAATAGATTTTGTTGATGATACTCAGAGACTGAAAAATTACATTTAGGTTATTGAATTATTTAGGTTATTACATGTTTGAATTAAAAATAACTGAACTGTTATTCGCATAAACCCAGAACCAGTGCTAGTGCTCATAATGGCCGCACCGAGTCTCAGAATTTAGGACCCACAGAGACTGCATCAGGCGATAAGATATCTAGTGTCTGCTTTCAATAAGACTTAAGTATATGTGGGAATTTATTTATCTGATAAGCTTTAAGCATGTGCAAGAAATTGATATAAGCATAATAAATAACTAATACAATTCAGGCTTAACTGTCTCAGTACACGATAGAAGCAAAATAAAATTTAACGGAACAACTTGTCGTTAGTTGCCAAGTTCATGATGCAAGGATAGCTAAATTTGATGATGACAGCCGCTAATTTTAAAGGTTTTCGGATATCGCAAAACAAAGGTGAAATTTTCCAGTTAATGATTTTGTAAAAAAAATTGGGAAGGGTAAAATGAGATGAATAAAAGAAGTTTTTTCATTGTGAGACAATGCTTCTCAATCATCAATCAATTATGAAAAAATCTGTATATGGTTTCTAGATCCAGAAATACCGCTGCCATAGTGAAAAAAGTGACAAGAAGTTACTGAAAACGAGAAAATTTCGATAAAAAGTTAGTCGACTGAAGGGGGAGTTACAGCTTCACATACAATGAAAAATTACCTATACTACAGATTCCGGAAAGATTAAGCAACAAAATGTACTAATTACGTCTTACTTGAAAGAAAAGAGTTAAACACATAAATTTAATCAGTAAAATTTTATACCCTAAATATCATAAAATACTCATTAGTTCATAATTGCGATTTCATATTTTTAATTTTATAATTTCTACGTGCCATCTTACTAGATTTAAGCTGATGATCTATTATCCGGAAAAATTCAGAAATGCCAAAGTCCCTACAAGTCCGGATTTCAGACTTTGTACTGTATTTACCTATTTTAGTCTTTATTTTTATAACTTACATTCATCAAGATTGCATTTATATTATTAATGAAAATAAGAAAGTAAAATATCTTAAATTATATGCTAATCTGTAACAAGTGACCAAAAAAAAAACTCATGACCAGATAAAGCCGGTCAAGGCACTCGGAGGGTTAAACAAAGAGCAGCAGAAAACCTGTATAATTTAATAGGCCCTGCAAGGAAGTAATGTAGTGTCTAAATCAGATATATTTTAATAGTTTATTTTCTGCATAAAATCTCTAATTTTCATGCATTTCTTGTCCTTTATGATACAATTCATTTAAATAAATGATTTGTTATTTTGTTAAACTTTAGCTTAAACTTGCCTTTATTGAAGACTTGAAAGCTGATGTTATTATTTTCATCACATAATTAATTTGCATCTTCATAAAATAGTGTTATATAGAGAATTTGGCTTCAGGGTTATTTCCAATAGTTGTGGATTCCTTGACAAGAATTGCAGATAAATTATGAGTTGAGCAGTAGGTGCCAGTAAAAACTAAAAAATTATTTTAGGACGTCCTGTGTATATGTTGAGACAGAGAGTTTGTTTTCACTTTCATTAATGCGAAATGACCACGTGAAGCTTACATAGAGTGTTCAAACATTTTTTTAATGACTTTGATTTTCTACATGAATTTAAATATTAATTTTTAAATACAAATGTGACTGGCATCAAAATGGAATAAGGTTTAATTATTGTCTGCAGCATTGAAAATATTCTCTTGGGTATACTTATCTGATTACAATAGAAAAAGATCAATTTACTGCCGAAAAAGACAAGAAAAAATGACTTGATATGTTGGTTGAGAGAAAACAAAAAATGTTTTTCTAAAGGTTTTATGGTTATTACTGAATTCTTTTATAACTTAAAATAAGGACAGCAGAAAAAAATGTTAAAATTAATTCAGATTACTATCAGAAATATATTGTAACGCCTATTTTTAAGGGAAAAAATCCATCTGTTTATCCAATCTTCATTGAGTTAAGTTTCAGGAGGATAGGCTCCAAGCCATGCCTCTAAATCTACTGCTTTATTTTTTGAAAAATGAGAAATGAAACTGGAATTGAATCCATTCTCTTTAAATGCATCCAACTCAAGTTTCCTGATGTGTCTCCTATGGATTACTGTGCATTTAGACTTTTAAAACAAGCTTTTTATAAGCGGCATCGCAAACATTGGATGGACTCTGAAAGATTGTGAAGGAGGGGTAAAATAAAATCAACCTTGATGTTTAAAGAAAAGGACTTTTATTATGGTAATCAAGATGTAATATGTTAGTTCAACAAAAGGGCTATCAGATTGAACATATTAGAAAATAAAATCCTAAGGTTTGTTTATATATATATAAATATATATCATCGCAAAGTCATTACAAAAATGTGTGAACACCTTTTGTACTTGGGAGAGCAAACATGTGCTTGAGATCCCCCCCCAAAAAAAAAAAAAAAAAAAAAAAAAAAAATTCTTGTAAATTTGTGAAAGAAAAGTAGCTTGAATTTCATCATTGGTGCCATTTATTGTTTATTTTTTCTTTGAACTGTGATGCGAACAGACGAGTAGACAAGCATACATTTTATCAGGTGTCTAGGAGAATTTCCCATGCCAAATGAGAAGAGGAAAAATACCCTATTTGTCTTTCTTGAGGCACTGTAGAAAATATGTGTGGTACCTAATTTTTAATTTCTACATGGTTATAATTGACTTGGAAAAGCCTATAGCAGATTGTAATGGACAATTATGTTTAGTGAAGTGTGGTTGCATAAGAAGAAAGCTGCTAATTAATAATTAGGTCTGGAATTAAATAAGGAAGATTTTGCTGCATAGGCGAAGCCTTTTTTTGGGAGGGAGGAGTAGCTTTAGACCTGCTTTGAGTCAATGAGTAGTTTTGCAAAAATTAAAAAAGAACTGTAGGTGATAACTATCATTAGGTGTGTAGTTTTTTCAGATGAGACTGAACATTTCATTGGAGATGACTTGTAGAAGTGTTTGTAGTTTTCGAGATAAAAATGGAATTTGTGGGAGAAGATTTGGATTAAACTTATCCATAAGGACTCCTATTTGTGGTGATGAACTTTTCAAGTTTTATGGATTTGATTGGTATAAATCTGAGTGATGATGCCGGTGGTTCAGAATAACTCTAAATTAGGCCACGCAAATATTTTTATTTATTTATCGAATGCCTGGCCGTTGACCATCAGGTCATTAGGCAGCAAGTTCTCCAATATTTCTTCATAATACAGTCTAAGCTCCTAAGTGCAGAGCACACATCCAGATGAGCAGTGTCCATAACTTCTCCAGAATCACACAAAGCACATAAAGGTGAGACAGTCAGATTAAAACAAATGAGCACCAAGGCAGCCATGTCCAGTCAATGGTCTAAATACAGCCACAGCAGTAGCACGAGAAGAGTTCAAGACACAGTCTGCTTTTAATAGCACCCTCCATGACTTATTTTCAGTAGCACTAACAGCAGCATTATGAAAGGATTTTTTATAAATCCTATTGATTTCAAGTTTAGCAGAGTGAAGAGATAGGTCTTTAGAAGACCTTTGGATAATATCCATACCTTTTTTTGACAAAAGGTCTGCCATCTCATTTTCCCAAAGGTCATAATGTGATGACACCCAATGGAAAAGCAACCTTTGTCTGAATTCTGCTCAACAGCTCCCTGCAGCTCTGGACACGAGCACTTTGTTTTCCTAGGTTATTTGGTAAGGCGTGTAGAGCAGAACGTGAGTTTGATAAAATTACAGCCTTATCAAGAGGTGAAAGACAGGCAGAAAGCTATTGAAGGGCTTAACTGATGGCCTCGACTTCACCATCAAAATGGGTTGTATGAGAGCCAACATATTGATAAAAGGAAAACAGATCACAGAAGATGCCAGTAATAGCACCCTGGGTGAAATCCAAAAGGGAACCATCAGTGTAAATATGAAGCCACTCAACAGGAGGATAGCAAGTATTGATGGTTTCTAAAGCGATGGCATGAAGAGCAGTTGAGCATAGGTCATTTTTCCTCACATTCAAAGTCAAGTCCAATCTGACATGGAGAACCATAAACTCCAGTGGATTTATACGAGTTAAAAATTCATAGGCCTTGTCGTTAATGACATTATATTGAGCGTTTCCCTGGATGCATTGAATGAAGCTCTTCAGAGTAATAAGATTATGTACTCTGTTACAATCATATTCACGCCAAAAAGAAATATTTGGGAGTCTAGTAAGTCTATTATAAAAGATAGCTACATTCCTCTGAACCAGGTTAGTCATTGGCTGTAAGTTACAAAGCAAATGCATAGCAAGTACGGCAGTAGTTTTAACACCTCCAATGATCAAGCGTAAAGCCTGGTTTTGGAAAATATCAAGCATATTCACAAGACTCTATCCAAGGCAGAGACCAGCACTTCATTGCAATAATTCAAAACCGGCTGGACATAAGTCTCATAAGTAGTGTTAAAGGTAGCTCTGCCATATCCTCATTTAGCACAAGCTAGTCTCTTAAGAATGGGGAGTCTCTTCCTTTGTTTTGAGATGATGTATTCAACATGCTTAGTCCATTTCAATTTGTTATCATAGATACAACCCAGATAAGTCGAAACATCATTATGCTGCAAAAAAGAACCTCTGTAAACAAGATCAGAAGTGAAAGGCTGTCTATTTAAAGTAAAATACTGACTAGTAGTCTTCTCTAAGTTTATAGTCATATTATTCTCCAAACTCCAGCCCTCCAGCCACTCGAGAAACTTATTCAGGACAGTGTTTAACCTGGATTGATCACCTTTAGTTGCATAGCACCAAATAGCAAGATCGTCTGCAAAAAAGGGCAGCATTAGTCAATCCATCAGAAGACAAGATACTCAATAAATCATCAATAAAAATATTTAAAAAAATAGGTCTGATCACTGTGTCCTATGGCAAGCCAGTTTCACTTTGCTTAAAGTTGGACACAGAATCACAAAAGCGAGTGGCACAGAAACATTGTGAAAGAAAGCTCTTGATCCAAGAGAGCATATTACTGCACACATCCAGGTTTTGTAAATTCTGGATACATTTGAGTCGCCAAACTTTGAAAAGCAGCCTCAACGTCCACAAACACAGCCAAAACAGAGCATGTCTGATCGAGAATGTCCTTTATGGACTGACTCAGCAAGATAACTTGTTGGTTTGTATACATCCATTTCCTAAATCCAACCTGAGTTGAAGAAATAAGGTTATTAGACTCGAGAAACCAACTCTGACAAGGTGTAATCATTCTTTTCATAACCTTGGATAAAATGCTAGTTAAAGAAATGGGTTGATAGCTATTTAAATTATCTGGAGGTTTATTTCTTTTAAGTATAGAAATGATGATATTTAATTATTTACATAATGTACAAAGTTACAAGTTAAGATGCTCTATTAGCATAGACAAGGTGGACGAGTGAACACACCATAGGTCCACTTCATAACCGCTTCAACTACTAACTAAACTAAATTTGACCCCTTTTACAAGAGGGTGCTATATTAAACTAAATAGATGTTTGAGAGAGAGTGTTTGGGGTTCCTGACTTGGATGGAGGAAGTGTTCTGGTTTTGCAGACACTTAAGTAAAGTCTGAGAGATAAAGGTCACTGATTGAATCTGGGCAATTTTTTTTTTTTTTTTTTTTGTTTGTGTGTGTGCGTAAGAGAGAGATATTATAAAGAGACTATTTTAGACTGGTAATTAGTTAGCAACTTAGAATAAGGTCTTCTGTCTGTTATGGAGAACAAAGTTCAGGGCAAGGTTCCTGTCAATGAAGTATAATAAGTTCCATCAGAGTTCAGGCTCTGTGACTATTTGTGAATTTGTGATAAACTGTGAGACGACTGTGTGTTATGTTCATGTCTATGGCCTGAGATACAGACTGATTAGGACTGTTTACCCAGTGTGTTGATGAAAATGATTTCTGATTACTGAAGCCTTGCTCATATAAGTACATTTTGCCTCCTCCTTGCATGTAGTGATGATCATGTAAAAGAAATGATGATTATATAAACTAAGTGTTAAAATGGAAATATTTATTATTTATGTTTTATTGTGACTTTAATATGTTAGTGGTATGTAGGGGCTTGTATAAAAAATGAATCATTTTGTAGCTAGTATATGTATTTATCTAAGATTGTTGTCAGTCAAATATCTTTCATTCTTAAGACACAATAACACGCTGAATAAATACTAATTCAGAAGTCAAACAACAAAAATCAGCATTATATTTACAAAATTTTCACAGGACTAGTTTCGATGGTTTTACCGAACCACCATCTTCAGCTGCAAAACCGCAAAATGCGGTTTTTGCGGTTTTGCAGCTGAAGATGGTGGTTCGGTAAAACCATCGAAACTAGTCCTGTGAAAATTTTGTAAATATAATGCTGATTTTTGTTATTTGACTTCTGAATCTTTCATTCTGTTCAGTGACCTTTTGCCGTCTTTCTGATAAATTCATGAATCCATGCACATAGAACTTCTTATCTTTATCAGCAAAAAAAAAAAAAAAAAAAAAAAACTCATCCGAGTGTCATTTGAAATCATCATTATTACTGAAATTTTTATCATTCAAGAAGCATTATAAAATTTTAAGTAAATGATAATCTGATGTTGCAAGGTCAGGGCTATGCGGTGGGTCCTTCAATTCCCAGCCAAGCTGCAGTAATTTCATACCTTTTGCTAAAGATGTATGAGACCTTACATTGTCATAGTGAAACATGATTCGTTTGTAATTTGCCAATTCTGGTCTTTAATATTCAATTGCTTCCTCCAATTTTGTAAGTTGTTGGCAGTAAACATCTGAGTTTATCATTTGGTTGCTTGGAAGCAGCTGAAAATACATAACACATTAGTAATCCCACCAAACTGACAGCATGATCTTTTTCTGATGCAGTTTAGCTTTTTATGTCATTTGTGCTGATTCATCATGCTTCGACCATGATCTTTTTCAGTTAATGCTATTGTAGATGATCCATTTTTCATCACCAGTGATAATTCATTAAAAAAAAAAATAAATAAAAAATAATGTTGAGGGATTATGTTTGAAATGCATGTCACAAATATCAGTTCATTGTGTTAAGTGAAATTCTTTCAGTTAATGCAGAACCCAAATATCAAGCTTCTTAATGAGTCCAAGATATCTTATGTTATTTTTAATTATTGTGCATGATACATTTAACCTTTTCGAAATCTCTCACACAGTTATATGGTGAATCAATTCAGTTAGGGCTTTAATTTTATCATCATCTCCATAATGAAAATTTTAAAACCAATTCTGACATTTGCATTCTATTAAGCAGTCAGCACCATAAACTTCACATGTCTCTTTGTGAGTTTCAGCCATTTTCTTGCTTTTATGAAAATAAAAAAGTAAAATATGTTGAAAATATTTATTTTTGCACCCCATGTTAAAATTGACAGTAAACTAATAGTTGTAAACAAAAATACATGGAATTTGTTTTTATAGCAACCTAAAAGAGTCATCTGTCAAATTTCGAAAGAAAACAAATTCTAAGATTGACAGAAGAATAACAAAACGAACATAACACTATGTGTCTGTGCAAACGAAAATTACTTTCTTCCCAACCAAATAATTCACTGTTGTACTCGTTGCAAATTGTTCTTTGGAAGAATGATTAAATATTGTACTATAAATTTTTGGCTTTAAGTTATTGCACCACCTTTATATGAAATTGACACACAACATTGATGCTTTGACCTGGATCGCATATATTTTTCTTACTTAACTTTTGCATATGTTTTCTCCTACACAATAATAGCATGCTGTTAAGAAGCTGTTATGATTTTTACGGAGAGGATAATGTTTATCTTTCGGCAGAGTCGTATTATCTAACTTCTCTTATTAGACATTTAGGAGTTAAAACAATTGGCTGATATATGCGATTATATATAATGTATGTGAGTGCATACTATAGGTAAAAAGCTTACTTTATATGTAAATACATTAAAATGAATCAAAGTTTACCTTAAAATTAGCAAAACCTGACAAAATAGATCATAATTTGAAGGCTGTGATTTTTTTCCCCTGTTTTGTTTGTTTTTGGCTGGAATCAGATATTTAAGGAATTGCTGTACTAAATACATATAAGTCAAGGGGAACTATGCAAAAAATTGCAGAAGAAAACTAAGAAAGTAATTTTGAGAATTTGTCTTGTGCACAGATAGTGCCAAAAGATCAGTGGCTTCATCACTGTGAACCATAAACAAAATGACAGCGTTATGTGGAACTGTGTTAGATTGAGAGGTTTCAAACCTCCAGAATATTTCAAACTATACAGGTGGCTATTTATTGTGTTTGCATGCACCGCATATCTTTTTATACTAAATGGATAACTCTGTTCCACTTCATAATTGAATTTTTTCCCTTTAACTCTGATAGTTTGTAAAATGATAGATATCATTAAAGCTCTGAAATTATCCAATAAAGAAAGCTGCGGCTGTTATCACTTTGTAATGCAAGACCATTTTACTAAATATTACATCCATTATATTTGATGTATTCACCAGCTATTTAAAAACAAAGATAATTTCCTGTTCACTTTGTATATTTTGAAGTTTAGCACATCATATTTCAAGTGAAATACATCTATTATTTTGTATAATAATAAGAATTTTAATCTTAAAATAAATTCTTTGTCAACAAGATAGTGAATCTACCTAGTCTTTTTGTTACTAAACTGTATCTGTAGTAAGTATTAATTCTACAAAGTTCAAGAAATAGTATTTGTATTAACCCTCTGAGCAGTGTAGGTTTTTGGATCTGTCATGAAGATCTGTATTTAAACAGCCTTTATTACCTAAATTTGTATATTTACTTATTTTAGTCTTTATTATCATAAACTTACATTCATTTATATGATTAAAGAAAGTAAAAAAGCATGACTGGATATAGCCTGTCATGACACTCAGAGGATTAATTATATACAGGTAGCCCTCCTACAACATGGTACCTTTACAATGTATTTTCACTCCAGTGCAGTAGGGAAAATGCTGAAATTTTCATACAGTGTGGTATTTTTATAGTGCAGTTTAGAAAATACGTGATAGCTTTCTTTAGTCTCCAGTTGTATAAATCTATAACCGACACAGCTTGCCGGCTGAGAATACAGAAACGCACCCTAGCATAACTCTACTTTTAAGTAGTAACACTTCTGTTGATTATATTACCAAGCCAATGCTGATTTATTGAACACTAAATCCACACTCAATGAAACAGTGGAACAAAAATGCCCTTACATCCAATTGTTTTAAATCAACCTAATGTTGAACTTGCCTTTTTACCACACAACAAAGTGGTGTTGCGTGGTAAAAAGGCATATTACATTAGGCTGATTTAAAACAACTGGATGTGAGGGCGTTTTTGTTGCAGCAACACCACTTTGTTGTTGCAACCCTTGGATTAAGTAGTCGTAACAACTTTTAAATGGTACTGTATCCATAAATCATTTGAATTAATTGTAGAGAAAATAGATTCTGCAGGTATTACAGCCAATTAAGTTGGAAAACAATTTTCAATTTAAAATTGTGAAGAAATTATTGGCTCATTCCTAAAAGAAATGTGGCAGTCAACTCTAAAAGCTTCCTGGAAAGTTTTGTTACTGGAATTTTGGTCAGTCAGGAAACTGTTGTTGAGCTAATTCACTGTGAATGTAATAACGTAGTAAACCTTGCACATGGAATAGGAGGGGGTGAATTCACTGAAATAATTGTTGATATTCTGAAATTAGTTACAGAAAATGAAATAAATGAAACAGACTTGGTGACAATGATATCTGAAACATTAACAATTGAAGATAATTATGAAGATCTTTTCTATGAAGAAACCAAAAACTTCATTCTGAACGGTATAGAAAAGTGTTTGGACATGGCAAAACAGATGGAATCTTACTTATTAGAGAATGATCCTCTGTCGGAGAGAGTGGAAATATGTAAAAGAAATCTTCAAAATTGCTTATCTGCCTGACAATTTTTTTTTTTTTTTTTTTTAAACCTAAAGCTATGAGAAGTGCAGTGGAACTTGCAAATGAAACAAGCTCAGATCTTGAAATAAAGTCAGTCAAACATTCTCGAACAACTATAACAAGTGAGAGTGAGGAATAAATTTAGCATAACATTGTTTCTTTTTGATTTTGACTTGAAATCATGATATTTTTAGTTCTTATATGATGTTGAATTTTATTTAAGTTTTTTTTATGAAATATTTTATGTACATAAATTTTAAAAAAAATGATGAAAAGGTTTCACCATAAAAAGCAGTTTTTCTCTTTTTAGAATCAAATCCCAGTTTTTGTATAAGTTGTTGTCGCCTATAACACTATATTCTATATCCCTTAATGTGATATTTCCAAGGAACGTATCTACAGCATTGTAGGCCTACTCGTAGTTGTCATTGATATGTGAAAATTAATGAAATAGGTCTGTTTTCAAAGTCAGGAGATCTGCAAATAATTAATGCATTTTTAACTTTAAATAAATATATGTCAACAAAATAGTACTGCATATATTTTCTGTTCAAGAACTTTCAAAATATGTTTAATAAGTAACATATTTCAAATATTAAATAATATAGTTTATGATCAAAGATGAAATTGATGCCATTTGTATTCTTCGTACATTGACAGATGAGTTAAATTTTTCCAATATTTGATTGAACAGATTGTCTGTTATTTCATATTCTTGTAATGAAAGTCTTCCCAACATTGGAATTTTTTGCAATGAGAATGACGATAATTGTTTTCTTACTTCTGAAGTTCATATTTCAATTTTATGACTTTAGTTTATAGTGCACTATATTATGCTTATATTTTTTTAAATTAGATGTTGAAAAAATTATTACTGTTATAAGAACTTTGAAGAGGCACATACTGTCACTACCAGTATCCAGATGGGCTCTTTTTTTTTTTTTTTTCAGCGAATAAGCCCTGATTTCAAAATTAAATATCTCTGCAACAAAGATCGATAAAATTATACGGTAAACTGTACGTTTAGCAAAACTGTAAAAATGGTATACAAAAGTTTAGAAAATTTAGTTACAAAAATCGTTAACAGATGGCGCTCTAATCGCAATGACCTATCAATAGCCTTTAAAAATGTGCTTTGAATTCGAAAGTGGTCAGTATGACTGTTGGCTAGTGAAAAAAGGCTAACATAGAAAGTGAAATAATGTATTCCACTGAACAACGTGTTTTTTGGTAATGGAATTTCACCGATTAGAACACAGTCCTACTTCAACACATCGCAGTTTTCAAAACCGATTCACTTTTGCAGTTGGACCTGATGCAAAACCATTCGCATGCTCTTCGTGAAATTTGAACGGACTGGCAGCGTGGCTGATGATTGAAAGGAAAATGTTGGGCCTAGGCAAACTGTAGTCATTCCTGAAAATGCAGCTAAAGTTTCTGAAATTGTTTAGCAAAATCCTAGGGAAAAGCATCCGACGGATGGCATCAGAGACAGGTTTGAAGTACATGAGCATGCAAAAAATATTAAAAATAGCCTACGTCTGTTTCCATACAAAATCCATCAGGCCATACCCTTGAAAGCTGTGCAACAAAGCGTTGACTTTGCGAATAGGATTCTAGCAATGGTCGACAACGACAGATTTGATGTGAGCTGCATCTGGTTCACACATGAGGCACATTTTCATTTGAATGGAATCGTTAATAAACAAAACAAAAATCCTCATTTGTGTGAAGAGAAAACACTGCATTCGTCTAAAGTTACTGCATGGGCTGTGGTATGCATCAGAGGCATTATCGGACCATTTTTCGTACGAGAAACAATAACTACTGAACGTTACGGTACAATTTTGGAACAATTTGTCAGCACTCAACTAGCGCTGGAGGATCGACCAGGTATCGACTGGTTCCTGCAAAATGGGGCTGAACCACATCGAACAGATAAAGTTTTTCGCTTTCTTCATGAATACTTTAGAAATGAAGTAATTGCATTAGATTATTTACTGACACAGGAATAGCTTGGCCTCCATATTCTCCCGATCTGAGTCCTTGTGACTTCTTTCTGTGGGGTGCATTGAAATACACTGTCTATCAAAACAATCCCGCTACTCTAGATGAGGTTGAATCGTTGATTGGTGTTGCATGTGATTCCATTTCCGTTGAGACCTTGCAAGACGTGATGTCAAATTTCATTGTTTGTTATGTCACCTCATTGTTTCGAACGGTGAACATTTTGAAAAAATTGTATTTTGATTGCAAAGGCTGCTTCACTTTAGTGTTTTTTACTCCTTTCAGGGAAAGAGTTTTCAGCACAGAGTGCCATCTGTTAACGATTTTCGTAACTAAATTTTCTAAACTTTTGTACACGATGTTTACAGTTTTGCTAATGAACATACAGTTTACCGCATAATTCTATTGATCTTTATTGTAGAGATATTTAATTTTGAAATCAGGGCTTATTTGCTGATCACCCTGTATATCCCACTATGCATATTATATGCGAGAACTTTTATGTAAAAAAAAATTTAACTCGAATTTTTTCCTACGAATTTTTTCCTACAAATTAAAAAAAAAAAAAAAAAAAAATCCACTTTAAATAATTTCTTCCTCTTGAAACTGCAATTTTGCATGTATGATATTGACATGCTGCTGACAAGTAACTGTTGTCAGATTAAGTTGTTAAAAATCATTATGTTGCCTTTAATCATAAAAACTGTACTATTTTATTTTTCCATTAATAGAACAACATTCGCCAAACAGTTTTTTTTTTTTTTTTTTTTTTTTTTTATAGATAAAGGTATTAGTTGTATTTCATTGATTAAGGTATCAGTTGTGTTTCATTTGGTATTAGATGTATTTTATTTGATTCTTATTTAGTATATGAATATATGTAGAGAGCTGCCTAACTGAGATGGTGACTCTGACTGCCGTACCAAAGGGCCCAGGTTTGAATCCCGGAGAAGGCATGGATATTTGTAAATGTATATCATAATGTTCGGTATGGGAGCACAGTAAATATGCGGCGAGCCAAAAGTTCTCTTGAGAGATTAGTGGTAGAAGAAGAGGGTTAGGAGACCCTTAGATCTGTCACTCCGGGATGCTCTCCCTTAAAATTGGGAGCAAAACTGAGCTAAAGTTGGGCTGTCACCTATATGGTGCTCGAGGTTTATGCCAATGACAGGCGCATTTGATTCCTTGCCACAATGAATATCACAGGCTTTTGCTGAGCTTACCAGGCAAATGAGATTGATAATAACAACATAAATGTAGAGACATCAGACACAAAAATAAAATCAATTTGAATAGATTGTAGCCAGTATTCTTCCGTATTGTTCACCTTGAAATTAATTGCTTAGCTTTTCAATGTTTTTCTTTTCAAAGTAAATAGTATTGCAAGTCTTCAAAATATGCCATTCTGTTTTAGTTTTGTGTTCATTGAAACAGTTTTGTAAAAATTTTAATGCCATATTGCCCAATAATGTAAAAGATTCAAATTATACAGTTTTATGCCATATTTAACTCGCTTAATTTTAAATAACTTACAGATGTGATAAAGTAACTAATTTTGCATTTCATAACAGTAAGTATTCGGTATTATTAGTTATTTAAATAGACAGATTTAATACATTTCCTATAAAATTTGATGAGGCAGAACATCATTAGAAACTTGTATCTCTCAATATCTATTGAAAAATTCAAATTTAATGATTCTGTAATATTAATATCTTCCTTCTTGAATGATCTGGAAGATATTCACATTTATTTTCAGTTATGTCTTAATAAACTTCCTGTTTCATATGATATGATTCTGCTTCTTTAGAGATGAAAGATCTGATGTTATTTTTCATGTATTTATGATGAATACTGTGGAGAAAAACTATTTGAATTTTTTAACGAATTTCATAGCTAGTGCATTAGTTTTTGAAAGTTTTTTTTCTGCCTGTTCTTCAGGCATTCTTCTGCATATAGATTTAGACAAAAATGTTCTTAAAAAATCCACTTGCTTTCAGGTTTTCTCTGACTGAATATTAAGAAGGCTTGATTATCATTTCTTCTGTGGTCATGGAAAATTATAGGTAAGTTCTTTTAAATTTAATGTAACTAATTTAAGCCTATTTAAAATTGTGATGGATTTCATTTAGTTTGTGTTAGTAAGAAATAAAAGAATGCAGTTAATTTGCTCAAAGGTTCTTGTTTTGTAAAGAAACTGAAAAGATGTGCATTTCTGTAGATGAAAAATTTTAAATAATTTCAAAAACTTATTATTGTACTTGGAAGTTAATTTCAAACATTATCAAATGAATATTGGTGCTACTAATAATAAAATTTCTTGCAATATAATGGTGTATATTTCAATTGCAAAATTACTGTTTTTTGTAAAATTAAAAAATTATTCTGTTCACCATAAAAACCAGAATATAGTTCATATTTTTCTGAAGGCTATAAGCAAATTAAAATTTTACTCTGCTAAGCCTCTTTCCAAGAAGCAAGTACAATTGAAAATATTGAAATTCCCCCCCCCCCCCCCCCGAAACCGTGTTGCTTTACAGCCATTAAATTTTATCATTTACTGTATATGCAGATGCCTAGACATGGGTGAAATGTAGTATCTTTGTAGTACAAAATTTGAATCTCTAAAAAAAGAAATCAGGAGATAAATGACATTTTCCCAATAATGAAACCTCTTCCAAAAACACTTTTCTTGCTTTTCTTTCTTTCTTCATTGGGGGGATGAGAAGCGGGTAGATATTGTAATCTATAAAAGACTTTTCTTGCAACAGCTTCTGGTCACAAATTGTTGTTGTCAGATCTTCAGAGAGTTCTTTAACTTTTATTTGCATATGTACATTGTAGTACATTATAATATAGTACATATATATAAATATACTATTAATAATTTATCTTTTATTTATTCTTGTTTTTAATAAAATATCTATTTGATGTAATTTATATCGCATTTAATCTGCAATTCTTATAGACTGGTTATGCTATACTACTGTTTCCTAAATTTAAATTGTCAGAGTTGCTTTATTAAAGAATGTGCAGAATTACAACATGTTTTTTCATCATAAATGGCAGTACTCTTTTTTATATTTCATGTCATAGGGGTATTTCATTTAGAGTAGATGCTGTATGGCAAAGCTATTTGTTGCTTACAAGTACTTTTTGGTGTTGTATTAAATGGAAAACAACCAAAAGAATCATGATACTATTTCTCTGTAATACTTGCATTACATATCAAATGATTATAAAAAAAAGTTTATTTCTAAAATTTGAACTTATCATTCTCTCTTAGATATTATGCCTATGGGTCAAGGGATAATCAGAGCTTCCAGAGGCTTTATTGAAAAAAAAAAAAAAAAAAAAAAAAACAATAATGCAATTTTTATTGGGTTAGGAAACAAATAATATCTAATGGCAAGACATCTGAATTAAAAGCCCATACATAACATAGTGAAATATGTAGCTTAAATAAAACCATTAAAAAGCAAAAAACTGAAGCATTGCCAGCCTGAAACTACCAAAGAGCACAACTGGCACTGCATGCTGTAAGAATTTCGTTGGGTTATCGGCTAATAAATGCTGTAAGAAACATCACCAGAGTGTAGCATAATGCCATTTCACATCATCAGAGGTTCCATTTCATAGGTCAACACAAGTTTGGAAGAACCATAGCAATGAATATGGACAGGTTGAAGTAGGAAACAAATTCCATATGTAATTGTATGGCAGTAAGGTTGAAAATTGCAGTAAAGACTCTTTCATATGAGGTGCCCCTGGGGCTTAGCCTGTAGTGTCTGGCTCAATCAGATGTTGGCTGAATATCCATCATCATTGTAATGTTAATATTACTATGTATTCTTATTGGAGCTCAAATTTCTTTAAAAAATATTATATAATGATAATTACCATTATTATGATTATATTATGATAATTAATCATAATATGAATATTATTATGATAATTACTAGTAATTTATCCATGACTACTTTTCATTTCTTATGTTCTCACTATAATCATGTTCTTCAAAAATGAAATTACTCGCATTATTTTCTTTTCTCGGTTTTCCTACGATAAAATTATAGTTAAAAAAGGGGGTATATGGTATTTTGTTTATTAAGCAAAAAGATCTGAAAAATTCTCAAAAATTGTCTCGTTAAATTAAGATAGAAAAATCTAAATTGAATTTTGAAAAAAAAAAAAAAATCATTTTAAGGGTGCATTTCTTCATGATCCAATTAATATGTATACTAAATTCTGTAGTTCTAGGCCTATCTGTTTCTGCTCTTTGTGTTACTTGCATGCATGCACACACATAAACTTTCTTTTTTATTATTTAAGGTAGCTGAAAAGTAACGTGAATAATTTAAAATGAATAAGAAAAATGCAATCTATCCAAAGTATCCTCCCTTCTAATTTCTGAAATAAATATATGCTGTTATTTTATAACAAACTATATTATACAAACTATATATAAATAGAGTCATTTAGGTTACTTTTAAGCTGGAGACTTAAATGAGCAATGCTCTCTCCAGAACTCGAACCTGGACCTTTGAAGTACATGCTGAGTGTGCTACCGTTAGGCCACAAAGGCATGTTGAAGGGAGGGAGAAAATACTTTATAATATATAATATTATTTCAAGCAAAACAGAATTTGAAGCTATTTTATTCTGCTGCTATTTCCAAAACTGCAGCTTAAGTAAGAGGCACTTGTAAACCAGAATACTGCATTGTTAATAATTTGCAATAAACCCAAGTCATTTTCAAACTAAATACTCTGTGTTCTTCTGTATCCTAATTTCTTGATAGTTTTTCTCCCTTAAATGGCACATTTTTTGCATAAAATTTTAATATTTACATCAAGTTCAAATTTTAATCATTTTTGTAAAATTTTCAAAATCAATTCATATACAGTCAAAAGTCTTTAATCTATAATCCGGACCTCAAAGTTACAAACTTTGTGTGCATGCGTAAATGCATAATACCTTTATGCATGTGCATATGCGTTTAATGTATAACGGACGGTATAAGCTAAGCTAAAATTATCTAATTATCTATTTCAGTTAATATTGCAGATTGCGTTGTTTCTTAATCTTCTAATTGGATCTGGCTCATTATTTTTTGCAGACTGTTAGAGCAATTTTATAAAAGTAAGCTTGAACTTTCGATTATGTCAAAAAGAATTTCCGATTCAGGAGCTGCCAAAGGATCTGCAAAGTGAAAGAATGTCTCAATGTCCATCAAACAAAAAGTGGAATTGCTGCAAAAAATGGATAAAGGCATATCCTTTGTTTCTCTAACCATTCCGAAATCTGTTTATCAATTTCATGCTGCTCTGCCAGCGGGGGGGGGGGGGGGGGCGGAAACGACGCAGCACGCAATGAACTGGAAGTTGATTTGTCAGTACTATTTTTATCTTCAGGGCAGATGTTTTTATTTTATTCGGCTTATAATTCCTTACTAAATGTAGTATTTCATCTCGATGTACTCTGTCTTTGATATGATTCAAATCAAATTCCTCGTCATTATAAATATCACGAATACACATCAAATAGTTTTCTGGTTGCAATTTTCTAATTTCAACATGCGTAATGCATGCTTTACGCATGCACGCGTTGAAAGAAATGTTTAATAAAGTAGACAAATAAATATTAAGCTTTTTTTTTTTTTTTTTTTTTTTTTTTTTTTGTAAATTTTGATACCCTTTAGATCATAATTGCTGTTTATTTCATAAATTATAGTTTCATATTTTTTATTTTATAATTTCTGCATGCCATCTTACCAGATTTAAACTGATGATTGATAATCTGGAATCGCCGAAGTCCGGACGAATCCAGATTAAAGACTTTTGACTGTATATATATATATGTGTGTATTTGTATATATATAATAAATGAAAAAAAGGCAAAGCAATAGAGAACAGATGCATATGAAAAAGTAAGAATACCTATGAAATAAATAATTGATTAGATGGATTTTAAAACATAAAATTATTATAAATCTATGACTGAAGTAATTTTTATTAACACTTTATAAAAGCGTTGATTTTATGAGGTAATACTGACCCATTATAAAAGAACACAAAAAAATATAATTTTTACTTTTTATAATATCAAGAAACAAAATATTTTCTGTGAGAATAGCAGAAGTTTACTTCTTCCACTCAGGTCAAAGAGTAGTCACCTTATAAAGAACTTTAATAATAAATTTCCCTTTATAAGGCGTACAAACCATTATTCTCTGCATTTTGTTTTGGGAAGTAAGTGCTCATATTCATTTGCAAGCATGAATTTATTTTTTTGAAAGAGGAAAACATTAAATACAAGGAACTCCATCTTAACAGTAGCTGAATGCCAACCCCAAAAAATTGACTCGCCTACTAAATAAAATTTCATATTAATTTAATTCTTTTTTAGCATGCTTAATTTATTTCTGCTGTCTCATACTTTTATTAAAACATCATGGAAAAAGCACAAAATAACGGGTATTGAAATTCTGGTATTTTGCTTATCATTATACAATTTTAGAGGATCATTTAGCTTTCTGTTATTATCAAGATGCTTTTTTTTTTTTTTTTTTTTTTTTTTTTTTTTTGTCAACTGAATGAGATTTATCATTATGTGTTTAAAATAAATAAATAGCTTGATTAATTAGTGCTTATTTGAGTGCTTGGGAAGTTTATATTAATTTATTTTGCTTTCAGACCTTCAAAGAGAAAAATTAAGAATCCAAATATATGTGTAAAAAAGAAAGCCATGTAAGTTACAGAATATTGTTTACTTTTTCCTTCCAAACAATTTTTAAACTTGTAACTGTGTGAACTTCATTCATTCAAAGCAGTTTTTGCAGTACAATTATATTTCTGTTGAAGTTATTCTTTATTTCAAAATAAGAATATGTATACCTTTAACTATATAATTATACATATGCACAAGGCACATTATTCATTTGATATATCTTTTTAGTATATTTAAAATAGTTATATATATTTGATGCATATATTATATGTGTATCTGCATATATTGTAACAAATTATGTAAAAACGCCTTTTTCAAATTTTGTTTTAGAACAGATATATCATCAGATAGACATAGCATAAATTTAAAATTTTTAGAAAATTCAAGAAGTCAAACATCTTGTCTGAGCAAAATCATTTGTTCAGACAAAACATTCGCAGAATTTTTTTCGCCAATTTGTATTATGCAGAAGATGACAAAGAAAAAAAAATTTTAATTTTTGAGCTCAAATTTTTAGACTAAAAGATTAAAGTGCCAGTTATGCCTTCAGTAGCTAAATAAATTTTGTTTTCTTCCTCATTCTTACCCTTAAATGAATATTTTAGAATTGCTCTTTAACTGTATGAGCACCTACGAAATTTCTGCCATTGTCACTGAAAATATCTGAGGGTTTGCCTTATCTCACAATAAAGCATTTAAATGCTGCTCTAATACTGCACGTATTAAATCATTTACAATCTCAAAGTGTAATAGTGCCTTAGTGAAACAAACAAAAATGCATACAAAAACTTTTTTACCTGTTTACTTATCTATTAAATTGTTTATCACAAAGGGACCACAGAATTCAAGTCCAGTTCTGCCAAAAACTCTGGAACTGGTCACTCTTGCAGCTGTAGTCAAGTCTGCACAGCAATAGATAGCTGTCTTGTATCAGCTATCTATTGCTTTGCAGACTTGAAATTTACCCTATTGCAAATTATAATATTAAATATAATTTTTCTAATTACATTTCTTGCAGAAACAATCCAAAATTTGATCCTTATAAGTGAGAGTATTATCTCGCACCTGCATGAAAATAAAGAACATGGAAATGATAAATCACGATTACAGTAAAATTGTGTCTAGTTGGCAGAACAATAGGATGTTTTTTTTTATTCCATTTAAATAACTGTTTTTGAGTCTGTCCCCCCCCCACTCTGATTATTCCATCATCAAAGGAACACAAATTAAATTGTCATTAGGAATAGGAACACTCTTTTCTAGCACTGGATTTTTGTCATAGATAAAGTCTTTTGAACATTTTTCACAATACACAATAAAGCACTAGAAAGTTCACTGTTTGTTAGTGTTTCTCGGGTAGGAATGCAGTAGATGCCCAGAGTTATGCAAAAATCTCTTGCATCAAGCCACTGCTCTTAGCAATTTGCTGTAAAGTGAACATTCATTGATGGTATCTAAAGGCGAAAAAATTAAAAATAAGTGCACATATTTCACTTACTACTAGTGGTTTTAGTTCTTGAAGAAACAGTTCCTCAGTTTCCACGAGAATACTGTCTTGGCACTCGATCATCATAGGCGGTGGTAGAAATAGGGAACCACACCACCACAGTTCACATAGTTGAAGTCTGACTGGAATATTACCTCTTTATGCGAGATCCACAGGGTTCCGTTTGGAAGGTACATTATCAGAGGAAGGATATACTCTCAGAGTAAAGGAGCCAATTAGTGACATGGATGAGAGTGATGATTCATTTTGTAAAGAGCAACTATGGGTAGTATTTCTAAAGAGTAGAGAGTGATATTTCTAGTAATTCTGGATATGGTCATTTTATCAGAGACTGGGCTCACTGAGTACCTGCCTTCCATTTTCCATAAAAGATATTGTTAATTCTTGTAAATAGTGTTTCTTGCATTTTTAAAATTAATTTTAATGTTTATTGCTGCATTTTATAAAATTAAACCTTGGAATAATTTGAATAGCACTTCTGAAATTATTTTTCAAAGTAAACAGTTTTGTTTATATTTTCATGTAAAATAAAGGGAAAAGATTATTTAATGCTAATTTTAATGTATATGTTAGCTTAAATAATACAGTACGAAGTCTGTAATCCGGACTCATCAGGACTTCAGCGTTGCCGGATTAGGGGTTTTACCGGATTATACATCATCAATTTAAATCTGTTAAGATGGCATGCAGAAATTATACAAATAAAAATGTGAAGCCGTAATTTATGAAATAATGAGCAATTATGATATAAAGGATGTCAAAATTTACAAAAAAAACTTAATATTTATTTGTTTACTTTATTAAACATTTCTTTCAACGCACGCATGCGTAATGTATGTGCATTTTCTACGCCCATGCGTAAAGTTTGTGGCTTTGAGGTCTAGATTATAGATCATTCTGGATAATGGACGTCCAGATTACAGACTTTGTACTGTAATCAAAAATGGTACCAAAACTATGATGTTAAGATTTAAAAGTTTTTTTTTTTTTTTTTTTTTTTTAGTTTGGCGTGTTGTTTATCATAGAAGTTATTATTTAGTTTTTATTTTATTAAAGAAAAATTTTAGTGCTCTTGTACTTACTTTTAGAAGAAAATGTTAAGTTTCAGTCAACTCTTGATTTACTGGGGTAATAAGTCCTTAAGACGATGTCCATGATTAAATCATGATTTGATTGAGGGCAGTTTAAAAAACACATGAAAGATGAATAAATTAAATCACAAATCAACAAGAAAAGAAATACAGTCAAAAGTCGTTAATCCGGACACCCATAATCTGGAATGATCTATAATCCGGACCTCAAAGCCACAAACTTTCTGCACATGCGTCAATGCATAATGTGTTCAGGCATGCGCATAGGTGTTTACGCATGCACGTAATACTTTTACGCATGCGCATGCACATAACACGTTTACGCATTCACGTTTAATGTATAACGAACGGTATAAGCTAAGCTAAAATTATCTAATTATCTATTTTCAGTTATTGTTGCAGATTGTGTTGTTCCTTAATCTTTGAATTGGATCCGGCTTATTATTTTTTGCGGACTGTTAGAGCAATTTTATAAAAGTAAGCTTGAACTTTCGATTATGTCAAATAGAATTTCCGATGCTGGAGCTGTCAAAGCGAAAGTATGTTTCAATGTCTATCAAACAAAAAGTGGAATTGCTGCAAAAAATGAATAAAGGCATATCCTTTGTTTCTCTAACCATTCCGAAGTCTGTTTATCAATTTCACGCTGTCGCGGCACGCGATGAACTGGAAGTTGATCTGTCAGCACTATCCTTATCTTCAGGGCAGATGTTTTTATTTTATTCAGCTTATAATTTCTTACTAAATGTAGTATTTCATCTCGATGTATTCCATCTTTGATTTGATTTAAATCAAATTCCTCGCCATTATAAATATCACAAGTACACATCAAATAGTTTTTAAGTTACAATTTTCTAATTTCGACTATGCCTAATGTATGCTTTACGCATGCGCACGTTGAAAGAAATGTTTAATTTTTAAACATTTCTTTCAACGTTCTTTTCTTTTGCATTTTAAGTAAACAAATAAATATTATTTTTTTTTTTTGTAAATTTTGATTAAATCATAATTGCTCTTTATTTCATAAATTATGGTTTCATATTTTTAATTTTATAATTTATGCATGCCATCTTACCAGATTTAAACTGATGATCTATAATCTAGAAAAATCGATAATCTGGAATGGCCGAAGTCCCGACGAGTCCGGATTAAAGACTTTTGACTGTACTATTAACAGTTTGTCTGTATTTTCAAGCAGTTTAAACTGGAAAGTAATTTCATTTGCTTACATAAATGAATATTCAAAACCAAATGAACACAGTGTAAATAAGAGAAGACCAAACAGCAATGGAAATGAAGAAACTAGGTTATAAATAAAATCGAAGAAAAATATTTACAATAGAACTTGGAAATGTCAAGTTCAAAATTTGAGTAAAAAAATTCAGTTCATAGATTTTATATTTTATTGTTCAATATGTATATATTATGGAAAATCTAAATTGCAAACTGTTATAGATAAAAAGCAATTCCCAAATACTGTAATATTGCCTGCTACCAGTGATGTCAGCGTGCATTTTGCTCTTCTTTTTTACTTCGTTGTATGAAGTAAAGGATGTACTGAAACCATGAAAATTTTCATTTATCAGATTTCAGTAGAAATGTCCATTTTGACCGTTTTTGAATCCATTTAAACTTTTTTTTGTGTGTGTGAGACATCTGTATGTAAGGACAGAATAAAGGACTTCTTATTCTACAGTGAAAATTTGTAGAGAGACAATTCAAAGTATGCAGTAAAAGATTTAAAAAATATTAAAAAAATAGTCCAAAAAATTTCCACTAGGGGCGCATTATAGACAAAATGCTTGAAAAGACATGCAGTAAGTAACTATGGCTATTTTAACATTTTCGAGATCTAGTGAATAGCATTCTTTCACTTGCGAGGCTTGTTAGTTTGCCAAAACATACATTAATCGTGAACCTGTTTTATGAAGGCCAGATAAATGATGTATCAGCTCTTTATGAATTTAGAATTTGTGCCTTTGTCTCCTAGTAAGACAGACATGATTCAGGAAAACTGGATCATTATGCATTCAACGTGGCAAAAGTCAAAAGTAGCAATGGGCGTTGTTGAGCACTCACTGACAAATGATCATGACTTTGGTAGTGCAAGTTCAGTCTGATAACAATTAGACATATTATATGGAGCAGCGTGGAAGATTCTGAGAACAATAGTGCACTTTTTTCCAATTTAGATGAGCCACAACTAGTATCTGCTTTTTACTGGCACTGACTGTCGCTTATCTTTTGCATTGACTCTTCTTGCCTGAATGGAAGTTAATAACCCCTGGCTGTGGAACATCCTTTGGAGTGATAAGGCTCCTTTTTATCCTAATGGAACCATGAACATGAGTTGTCACATTTGGGCCATGGAAAGTCCGTGTGTCTTCTACACATTTCACACACCTACCTAAAGTTATCGCCTGGTGTAAATTTCCTTCCTTGTTTGGACCATTCTTCTTCAAAGAAAATTATGATAATGACACCGTAACATGCTCTGCAATGGCACTAAAATATCATGACATGCTGAACAATTTCAAATTACTTCAACTTCAACAGCAACAAGCCTTCTCATCTATCACTTTTATGTAGGATGTTACCTCTCCATGAAATGAACTGTATGTGCAGAGGTTTCTGTGGTAACATTTGACTGATGACAAGATAATAAGATGTTCATTTCCCAGTCCTTAGCCGGCTCGTTCTCCCAGTCTCAGTCAGCGTGATTTTTTGTTATTGGGCCATCTGAAAGAGTATGGTTTATCTGAAGAATTTTAAACTTTGGCGGACCTTAATCACCATGTAACATTGCAAAAAATCATTGGTAATCAGCTGTGTATCCTATTCATTTCACACTTAAATGAGGGTGCCTACAGTCAACAATATGCTTTACATTGCTATAGAGTTTGTAACAAATAAACAATGCTTGTATTTAAAATTTGGAGCTTGTTTGTATTTTGATGTAATGCACCTCCGAGCTTAATTTTTCAAACATTTTTTCTCCCTTCTCAGAATTTTTTAGTTCATTCTTTCAATTGTGTGTCAACAAATTTTTGAAATAACCTTCTGGCTGATCCTCCCACGATTTCCACGGCAACTCAAATGTAGCAAAATTTGCTTATCCCGCGATTTCCGCAGGGCATATGTTTTTCTTCCTTTATTGAGGAGCGCATCCCGTTTTTTTCCCATTTAACCATTGAAATAAATTATATACAGTAATTAGGTGTTTAGTTTATATTTTGGACAACAGATATCGTTAGTTGGCCACTAAATTGCGGTATTTGAAGGTACGTGGTATTAGCGCTCTAACTTCACTTTTTCCTGCTTTTTTCTTACAGAAATGGCTGCTAGAAAACATTAAGCGATTATCTTAGTTATTTAATTAAATTATTGAATTATTAATTAGATTTATTGAACCTGGTGCAAAAACTGTGAAGTTAGACTTTGCCTTGAACCCTATCATATTAAACTGCATTTCTAAGGTATTTTTCATTCAGCGCTTTATATTTTCTTCAATTTTATACATTTTACCTTTTTATATTATGCAATAAATAGAAATTAACTGTAATTAGACTGAAATTTTATTTTTTTAAAAAAAGATTTTTTTGGTGATAACATCTGAAAAATGTTTTCTGGCAACTTAGTTTCTCATGATAAAAATCTATATAAAAAATATTTTCTAGAAAGAAAAAGTGAATTTTTCAATTCTTCAACATATATAGATTTAAAATATGGGAGCCAAAAGAAAACCACCTCCAATTTTGGAAGCAATTTTGGTCCACAAATTGAGCAGTCAGAGGAATAATCAGCATTTTATTTACAACTACAGGGTGCTCTGAATAGGCCAAGTTAAATTATAATCACCTTGTGTGTATTTATACAGGATTTGTATGGTTCTTAAGAGTTCTTAAAATTCCTTAGGTTTTTTTTTTGAATCGATTTTTGGTCCGAATCGAATTTCGACCAAAATCGCCAGAAAGTCACCAACGACCAGTCAGATTGCCAAGTGGACACAGTGTCCATTGTGAGCCTCCCTCCGGGGTGGTCTCTGAGAACCGAGATGTGTAAGCGCTGGTGCCCCGGTTCAGCTCGGGGGGGGGGAGTTTATTTTAAAGTCTGCGCAGGGATTTGAGGCACCCCAGCATAGCAAGGCGAGACATTTATTTCCCTCTCTAAAAGCTATCGCGGACTTACGACTGGCCCTCCTGCCTAATACAGAGTTGAATCACGGGTAAGCCTCAGTTGCATTCAGTTCGCAGGAGAGGTCTTCTAAAATGTTAATTAATTAATTATATTTGCAAAAAATTTATATACATTATGAAAAAATAAAAATTATAAGAAGTTTAAATCCCATATGACAAAAATTGACTAAAATATTTAATTTCAAAATTAGCTATTTTTGTTATCATTTTGAACTTACCTTGAACAATCGTTTAATTTAGTTCGAATAATTGGAGGAAATAAGTTTAAATGAATTGCAACAAAATATGTGTATAATTTAATAGGCTATACAAGCAAGTCATGTTTGACCACATCAGTTTTTTTTTTTTTTTTTTTAAGAAAAGTTTAAATTTAGAGCTAGTTAATCAGGAGTTGAATTTAAACACACTGTTTGAGAGATATTTTAAGAATTTCTAGAGGAATTGTATGCATCCTAAAAAGTAAAAAAGTTTAAGTAAAAAATCAAAGATTTCACGTTTTTTCAAACAGCAACACTATAAACTATTCCTTTTAATATTGGCATAAAGCTGAAATCTGTAATAAACATGGAATAGTAATGAAATTACCATCAAAATTCAGAGAGAATATTTCTTATTGTGATCATTTAAAAGTAGTTATTGTAATGTTATTTTTATCAATTTCTCTGTTTACTTAGGTTCAGTCTGAAACAAGTAGATTGTGATTCTAACATTTCATTTTTAAACACCATGGTGAGCAATACTCCAGGAAGCTCATATTCTGTGAAACATACTCAAAACTTTGTAAAGACTTTTGGAAGAAATAATTCAGATATTGGGTGTAAGCCCACTGAGCACGTTAGAAGGAAAGATGATGCTGACAAGTCTAGATGCCTCAAGATAATAGATTTGCCATCTAAAATTATGGAGCGTATTTTGAGATATCTTCCCTTTGACAACATAGCAAAACTTCGATTAGTAAGTACATTTTTTATTACTAAAAGTATATCTAATATCTTGCAGCAGTATGAAAAATTGTATTGTTTTTGGAACATTAATTTAAGTTGAATATTTTTAAAGTAAGACAATACTTGTAGCATTATAGCATGAAAATTAACTTAAAAGTGAGCATAAATGTTAAACAGTTCACACTTAGCAGTGAGTATAAAACTGCCAATCCTTTTAATACACTTTTCCCAAAGAATATAGGCATGCTGACACAGACTGACATATTAAAACAGGAGTAGTTTTATTTATATTATTATATTTTATACTGAGTCCAAGTTTAAATACATCTGCTTAAGAAGAATCAGATGAACGTATCTCTAAATAGTAAATGCAAATGGTCAATGCCAGTTATTTAATGAAAAATCTGTCCATATGAGTATTGCATTATACAAATAAAATAAGCAGTCATATTGTAGCAATAATAGTAATCATAAATAAATTATAAAGGTGCTTCTACATGATGTTGCTGGTAATAATTGATAGTAAATATTTATCTTTATGTCTGTAATATATATACTAATGCCTATAATATCTTTATATCTATATTTAGTAATTATTTATTTGTATTAACATGTTGTTTACAGTCATATTTTGATAAGCAGGCAATAGCAGCTAATAAATCATAGAATAATCAAAAATGTGAATTACTTCTTTGAAATATATTCTCTCTATCTATGTTTTTTTTAATGGGGTTTACTGCTGTTGTTGTTTGTTAGCTTATTAGTTCTGAGATAAACTGGATAGCCTAATGGAGAATTTAAAAGTTGTGAGTGGTTCCTTTGTTTTAAGCTCAGGGCAAAAATGCTGTTTCTCAAAAATATGCAGTAAAGAAACAAAAAAAATTTTATCATTTTTTTATGTAAATTTGGTTTTTCATTCCTCGTCATAATTTTGAACTATTCATAGAATTAACAGAGCTCGTATGGTCCTTAAAAGTACTACTTAAAAGTCCTTAGGTTTTTTAGAAATGATTTTTGTTCTTGAAAGATTCATAATTTTGGCCTAAATTGCAAAACATCCTTAATCAGACATCGGATATTTCTGTCTCTTTTTAGCAACTGCGATTTTGAGTGTGAATTAACATTTTGGAGGAATATTTTTTTATTCATTCACGAATATGTGTTTGATGAATTATGATTTGTATTCTTTCCTGCTTCTTAAAAGGGTGCGAAGCCCTGCCTCAATTAAAACATAAACATTTTGAAATTATTTCTTTTTTGAGAATTTTCATAAATCATTACATCAGAAACATTCTTTTCCTTTTTGATATATGATTCATTTTATTATGTGGTACTAAATTTAGTGATTTATCAAAATTTTTGTAATTTCTTTATCAATTTGTACTCAAAAATTTTAATCTGGATATTTGCGACTTTTTCCCCTCTCCCCTGCAAACATAACAAAATTGATAAAAAAATAATGATTATATTAAAACTGTAACTAAGAAATACCATTAAAAATATTTTTATTTTTCAATGTCATATTTTAAAATGACTTTAATTTCCATTTGGGGGACTTGGGAATAGTTTGATTCTGAAAAATAAATTAGATAATAAATGCTGTGAAACACAGCTTCTGAAGCACTTAGCAAAAGCAAGAAATCTACTGGAAGTTTTTTTTTAAATTAATTTCATTTTTCTTTTATATTTTTTCATTAGAGTTTTTTCCCATGTCATTGTTTCAGAATATTCAAATGTGCATCAATTTTCTCCTAGAAATTCATTTTACACTTTTCTTTTCTGAATTTTGTATTAAAAAATCTTCTGGATTTGTGCTCGTACAGAGTTGGTAGGGATAATTATTAGATCTTTCCACCCTCTTTCCTGATCTTGGAAGTTTTAGAAGGATTTTAAAGCAAGATTTATTGACCTATGATTCCTGAAAAATGTGACCAAATTAAAGATATTTTCATGGTATTAATATGTAATGAATGTGTGCTATAGGAAATTTGTGATGAATTTCTTATTTTATGGAAAATTTTTTGGGAAAACGGTGAAAGTAACGTTACTTTTACAAAGTTCAGCTTTTGATCATAGAAGTCTTCTTTACAAGTTTATCTTTTATTTTCTCATCTTTCCACTGTACATAAGCATGAAAAATTGAAAATGTAGGTCTAATCTTGTCACATGGACAAGGAATTTTTTTGTTAATAAAGAAATTGAAAGCTGACAGTTTAAAAGATTAATCTTATTTGTCTTACTGCAACATACAAAGGGCAGTTTGCCACTGGGTGCAATCTCTGCGGATCCTAAATTTTGCTCTCCAGGGTCTGTCCTAAATTTAAAAAATTTTGCCAGCCCTAAATTTTGTTGTCCATCATTGCTTCACTAACTTCTCAACATTCTGCCACACTGACTGTGGTGCCGACCCTGTCTTTGTATCATCTCATATTTATTCTCAATAATCCTATTATTAAAGAAATAAAATTAGCATCTTCTATACATTCTAAATATGTGCACTTCTGTAGAAAAACAGAAATCTTCAAACATACAGTTATTTAGAATAATACAAGTCTTCAATTAAGTCTGAAATTCTTAAATATAGAGGAAGAGTGAGAGAGAAATTGATTGCATAACGAGAAAGAAATTCTTCAAAAGTATATTATTAAAATATCAGATTGGGGATAAAGTAGCCACTAGTGGGAATATTGATTTGTTTATTGAAATAAAAAATATGTTAAAGAGAAGAAAATTGATGTAAATTAGCTAAAATATCTTGAAAATTTTCAAATTAAAAAGATGTCTTGTGTTGTTACTTTGAAACATACATGTTTTCTAGCTGTTTTTGTATAATTATCCTAATATCATTTTAGAATCAGTATCATAAATTATATGCATAATGATCTGTATTTTAAAATGTAAAATGTTCCTAGATTATGATTTGAACAGTGCTTTTTTTATCAGATACTTTTTAAAAATGAATAGTGACCCATCTAAATCTATAATGTTTCAGGATTATTTAACTATGTATATAAGTATTTATAACTAATTGCTCACCCTTAGAAGTTATCTGTATGTGTTATGATTTTTCCTTAATCCTTGCTGTGGATGTAAGATATGTAAAAATTAACATAAAGCTTTATTCGTTACAGCTAAATGATACTTAAAATAATAAAACGTACCACCTCTGGTGCATTAGTGGTGTATTGGAACTTTATATTAAATATTGTTTATTAACTGGATCTCTTCAGGAACTCTATGCCAAGCAACGACCCTAACTGGATTAGATAAACAAAACACAACTAACTTTCAAATACATACCAATCTTGCCAGTGCCACAGCAGTGGTGGCAATAGTCGAGCTTCTGTTAGGAATCATGCTGGTTATGATTTTACTTCTCATTTTAATCTATGTCGCTTGACATAAAATTTGCTTAAACTTCTGGACTGAGCAAGTATGTAATGAAACAAAGCATAAAAGAAAGAATCAACATAAAACTGATTGTAAATAAAACTTAAATGTTACTAATATTCCTTAAATTATGTCGGACCATTATAAATATAAAATATAAATAATCATAGTATGAATTTTGTAATTTAATGCTAATGCTATGATAAATTTTATGAAGCTGGTATTTTCGATTTTCTAGTTATTTTAAATATTAATTTATGTTTAATAATAATGTATCCTACTTTCAAATTTATTTTAAGGATGATATTACAAAAGTGAAGTTTGGGTATAAATAATTACTGTAATGTATTCAATTCCCTTTGCTGATAGGTCCTCTTTTTTTTTTTTTTTTTTTTTTTTTTTTTTTTTTTTAAGTAATCCTTAAAAGTTCTAATTTAAATTGCAGAAATGTGTATGAACACTGATTGAGAGTCTTTCAAGTCCTTCATCTGATAATAATTCAATAAATTAGGGTAGGCTAGTTGAAAATAAATGGTGGCAAGAAATTTTACTAAATTAATTATCACATGTTGGTAATAAAAGCAGTTAGAACCTGTGCAGTTCGATACATCATGACATATGAAAATCAACTCTGTTTTGAGACACATATGCAGTATTTCCATTGTCAAATGTTCAAAAATTTTTGTCTAAAAATTTCTGATCATAAATGAGTACTCAGATGTTTAAAATTATGTAGTTTAATCATTGGCATTTATTGAAGTTATTATCTGAATTTTCTGAGAGATTTGAGATCGACCTTCCCAAAATTTTTCTCTCTAAAACACTGACAAAAAATTTAAAGAAAAGGGAGAGAGAAAATTTAAGTGGCATATTCCAGGGAAACCATTTGAGGCCTATAAAAATTGATGCTGTCTCCTGATGCCAGCCCAGCAAGTGGAAAACTTTAATGCAATAATATTTAGATCCTTAGAATGAAATAACTTCCATGCAGTTCATCTTAGATATGTGCAATATGTTTTAAAGAATATTTTTGCTTCTTGTGTGTTGTATATTTTTGGGAAAGTATTAGCAAATGTGATTGATGGGTCAGTTGTAAAGGATATTTGTAGTTTCCCCCTTATGTAATTTTATGTCCTTCAATTTCCTTTTTAAAATCCTCCACAGGCATTCTTATATTTAAGCAGTTAGCCATCATGTACTTTGTCATAATTATTTAATATAATCTTGTAACTCGTATATTAAAAAGTTTTCTTGCTTCAGAATTGCAGGGGGGGGGACTGATTTGGAAATTAAGCAAGCTGGATGTATGTAGGAATTTGCAGTTTCTCCATGCCTGTCATAATTGCAAACCAGCTTTTCTTAAAATGTCTTTGACAAAGGTATCTATAATCTTAGGCAGAAATATAACATGTTTTTATATATCTTGAATATAATCTTGTAATATACATTAACTATTATAATTTTGTAATTTTTATGTTAATATATTTTTTGCTTAAAGCCTGGGAAAATAGGAAAGATAAATTTGTTAATACCAGAAATCTAGTCTTATTATTCTCTGTGTGAATTTCAAATTTTGCAAAATAGAATATTCTTCCAAATCCATATTTTCCTCTCTTTTAAGAGTATTTTTTATTGTAAGCATTGTGACCAAGACATGTATGGAGAAAAGTATGCAGCTGTATCTTGAATCATTGCCTCTTTTCATTGTTAAATAAATGCAATAGTCTTTGCTTAGTGTTTAGAATAGATAAGTATCATAGTGATTTTTTTCATTTTAAATTGTTTCAATGTTAAACTAGAATTTAACTATAAATATCAAGACACTTTTATTATTATTATTTAAAAGGTTTCTTTTTATGTTGTTCTTGGTTTACATTCATTTGCATGTTTAGTCTAGTTTTTATACTTCTCAATAAAATAACATTTGTGGCAAAAATGTATTGCATTTTTTCTTTTATATTTTTATAGGTTTCAAAATATTTCAATAAAGTTTGCTCTATGATGTTAAGTTCTGAATTTTTTCGTTTGCGAGCTTTCATGTTCCACAGGCTTCAAACTATAAAAGCACAAATGCCAAGAAGAGAATCAGCTCGGCGAAAACATCCATTGGCAAGAGAAAATGAAATCATTGAAGCATTGCATGCAAGATTGTCCTTACTGCATATGACATTTGGCAATCATATTGAAAAAAATCATTGTTGTTTTTTCCCTGGAGAAGTAATTATAGTTTATGCACTTTATTGAATAGTCCAATAATTTACTGTATTTGTTATTAATTTTTTATTCATATTTTGTGTTTAATTCCAATGTAAAAGATGTTCATTATCAAAGTAATTTTATTTCTGATAATGATTACTTGAATGCATTAAAACTTTATTATCATGTATAATTGATTTCTTAATAAAATAGTTCATTCTACTTTGCATTAGAATGTTGAATAAATTTTGAACTGGTGGGCTAGATTTCTTAAATTAATGTTAAGTTATGTTCTGATAGCAGTGAGTTTACATTAAATTTACTAATTATTCTTCAATATCATGTTTACAGTGAAGTTGGAATAAAAAAATCATATATTTTACTATATGGGACTGGATTTCAATATGCAAATTATATAATTCTGTAAATTAAAATTGAAATTTGTCCAAGTTTTGTTTTTCTTTGGCTTTTAGTAAGTATTTTTAAGTCCATTATCTCTCTTCTTCATATTTTTGCAAATATTTAATATTTTTAAATGATTAAGAGTTTAATGAGGTTAATTTAGGTATATGACAATCATTATGACTTTAAACATCGAGCTTAAAGATATGTGAGGGAAAAAGCTGAAATAAAATTTATTCTAACCTGAAAATCTTTTGGCTGTTAAAATTTATCAACAACCTATTTCTGTCGCTTTATTTTAGTTGTGTAAAGCAAAAGGCAGAATTTAATAAGAATAATGTTAAACAGGGAAAATGCAAATGAATTGCATTATGATGCTATTATAGTGCACCATTACTCATACTACTGTTTCAGTTATAATGTACATTAAGATATTGTGTAGCCATTGGAAAAACTAAATTCTCAGAGAGAAAGCAACAACTATAAAATGGTGCTTTATGTTAATTATGTTAAGTGAATTTAATTAAAAGGTCATTGTTATCGCATAGCCCAATGGGATACACCTTTGGTATACAGAAATATGGAAATTTTTATTCCTATTCTTTGAGCATGTGCAAAAAAGGAATGTAAGGGGTTGTTTCAAGTTGTAATTTCAAGGATTATATGAGTAGTTGGATAAATGTTTCACATGTGGAAGTTGGCACATGTTGTTAGGAAAGCAACTGATGGATTGTGAAAAATAGCATCCAACTGGGAGAATGGAAGCAAGACTGACACTGGCATGGGCTGTAATTGCCTAAAATTAACCAAAAGCATTACAGTACAAAGTTTGAAATCCAGACGTCCATTATCCGGAATGATCTAACCACCTCAAAACCACCACCAACGTTTTCTAATAGGCTTTACGCATGCGCATTTAATCCATCCCCTCTCCGTGCGTAATAAAATATCTTGAGAGTCCCGATTCTTAATTTCACTTCGACACTAAATAAAATACTTTGTTATTTAAGAAACAATCTTTTTAGCATAAATTTGTACAATCGGTAATTTGGCTTCATCGCTGTGTATCTCAAAACGAAACATTCCACATAGACACATCGTTGATCTGACTGCAACCTAGGGAATCATTATTTATTATACTTTCCTTTTATCACCGCATATTTATCAAAACATGACAAATTGAGTAATGACTCATGTAACAATGCCTAAACAATTTTTTTTTTTTTTTTATGTTAGTAATTGAATAATAAAGGAGTGTGGTAACCTTTTATGTTGATATTACGCTTCGCGATGATTACAGATTGAAGTTAAATGTGCTAAAAAATGTTGATGAGGAAGAATTTACCAAAAATTTCTTTCCATATGCTAAAAATATATTTTGTTGATGATACTCATAGACCCAAAGATTACATTTAGGGCTATTTGAATTAAGAATAACTGATTTGTTATTCACATATACCCAGAACCAGTGCCAGGCCTAGTATGGTCGCATTGAGTCGCTGGATTTAAGACCCACATAGACTGCATCAGGCAGTAAGATATGGCCTCTCAATAAGGCTAAGTATATAGTGGGAATTTATTTATTCAGTGTGCAAGAAAAATGCATAAATATAGTAAATAACTACACTGATACCATTCAGGCTTAATTGTCTCAATGCGCGATAGACGCAAAATAAAATTTAATGGAACAACTTGTCATTAGTCACCAAGCTCATGATGCATAGCCAAATATGTATAGTGTAGAACAACTAAATTTGATGATGATAACCACTAATTTTAAAGGTTTTCGGATATCGTAAAACAAAGGTGAAATTTTCTAATTAACGTATTTTGTAAAGAAATGTGGAGAAGCGGGTAATAAATGAAGATGATATAAAAGAAGTTTTCATTATGATGACAATGCTTCTCAATCATCAATCAATTAATGAATGGAGAAATCTGTAGTATGGTTCTAGATCGAGAAAATACTGCTACCTATAGTGAAGAAAGTGACAGAGAAGTTACTGAAAATGAGAAAATTTTGATTGGCAAGTTAGTCGGAATTAGCAGTTACAAGGACTTCAATGTAACTGATCAAGAGATTATGAAGAATGTCTACAGAATTAAAGAGAAAGTATTAGCACTAAAAACGAAGCAACTTGCACAACTTACATTAAAAGAAATGTTTAATAAGGTAAACAAATAAATATTAAGCTTTTTTTATATACCCTTTAGATCATAAATACTTCATTATTACATAAATCAGGATTTCATATTTTTAATTTCATAATTTCTATATGCCATCTTGCTAGATTTAAATTGGTGATATAATATCCAGGAAAATCCCAAATCCAGAATCATTTAAGTCCTGACGAGTCTGGATTTCGGACTTTGTACTGTATGTCAAGAATCTGGAAGCGGCGTAAAGACTATGATAAATGTACTCAAACAGGTCAAGGTAAAAAACATTCTACAAGACTCTTGGATTGTTATTGCCAATGTTTTGTAAAAGAAATAAACTGACCCTAACCAAAATTGTAAAAGGCTTCACTGCAGCTAGAGAAACTCAGTTATTCAGATATGCCATGAGGGGCAAGCTGCATAAAAGATGACAGTGTATATAGAAATCCACGAACTACACCCCTTTAAAAATCGGGCCATGAAATACACCCTGTGCAGTAGTGCAGCAATCATCATGATTGGAGTACCCCAGATTGAACAGAATTTTCTTTACTGGTGAGTCTTATTTTTGTTCAGAGAGTGATTCCTGACAAGTTATAATCTAGAGGGAGTAAAACATGTACAATGTATGTGAAATCATCCATGAAAGGCAATGCTACAAATGTGTTGCAATCATGGTCAGTGTGGCATCATCTGAATGGCTGCCCTGACCGACACAATTTCACCAGTGCAGCTATGAATTCTGATGTATTCCGAGATGAGGTCTCGATCTTTATATCAAGTTGATTAATGATGCAGTCTGTAATGACTTCTTTCTTATAAATTATAATGCACATTCCCATCACAGTGTAGTAATGATCAGTTATCTGGAAGTTGAAGAAATCCAGCAGTTCGAGTAGCCCTCATGTTCTCCGTATTTAAATTCAACAGAACATAAGTGGGATACAGTAAGACCTAACATTTACAACTTCTGCCACCTCAATGTCCATGAGTTTCAAGGCGATGATCAACATGAATGCATTTTGGCATTGCAAGAATTCCTGGGTAATCTAATACACATCCCACTACATATCACATGTCAAGAAGTCTTATTTAAATTTATTTTATTAGAAGTAGGCAGTTTTTCATTTTGTTAATAATTCAAGCATGATAAAAGAAGGTCTTGTGCAAGTGTCATGTCCTTAGCTGCAAAATTATTCAAGTTACATGGTTTTTTTATTGTTGTTACTTTAATTTTTCCATAAGTGTATTACAGTAGTTTTCAATAAGTGTAGCTAAGGCAGTTGCAAATGTAATCCTAACACCAAAACTTGCAAATTAGATTATTTGATTAGAAAAACACACATGCAGAAGACACTGCTGATTAATTTCTAAAACCTCAATCACATTATGTTTTGGCTATGCAGGAATTGACGTCGAAAGGGACAATTCTCAGAACCCGCACAATTCCAGAAAACCCACGTAGCTAGGTTACCATTTTGACTTACTAGAAAGACTCTAATGCCAAACACTAAAACGATTATCGTACAGATTGGGATCAAGTAATGCTTCAGTAGCAGAACTTTTGTCTGATTGGTTGTCTCTACCCGGTAGAGGTCCAGCCGAGACATTTTCAGCGAGGTTCGAAAAAATCCCCCATAGCCACAACATCGTTTCTGTAGCTAGGTGGGACTTTGCTTCAGGTGAGGCTCTTTTTTTTCTAGGAAACCTCTCATTTAAATCAGTGCTACCAGATACTTGTTTTTCAGAAAAGTCCCATCTAGCAGGGACTGTAGCCAAGTGTAATAACTTCTTAGGCTGTTGCTCCCTTTTCCATTTTTTAAAACTTTATCAGCTTATCTCATGTATTAAATGGTTAAGAAGAGAACCAGGAGCTTTTGTTTACTATGTTGAATATGAAATGAAAATATATTACTAGTATCATTATTGCAAAGCAGGTGGAGAAGATTTGTACCAGTAGAATCTGGCTATCAGAATTAATGATTTTAAGTTATATAGCTGAATTTCAAGGTCCATTGTTTAAATCAAGTTTATTTCAAGGTCCATTGTTTTTATTTGGGCAAAAAATTGCAAAATTGCATTACAAGTTAATTTTTTTTTTTTAAATTTTAATTTTAAAAAAATGCCTTTCATTTATATATATCTGCATTTAGCAAAACAAAAAATGTGCTGTTTTGTTAGTTAAAGATTTCTTCTCATTTTGTGTGCCATTTATTGTATATTTCTATTTCCTGTTTCTCTAGAAAGTCTAGTTTTTAATAAAATTTTAGAGGTGGAAGGGAAAAGGTGTTGTAATTTTGTTGATTTTAGCTGTGCTGCTATTCATGCCATTAATGTTGGATAAAGTGAAAATAAAGAATGGAAGAATAAAGCGTTTGTACTCTGTTCTCTTAAAACGTTATTTATGGTGTAATTTCACATTAGATTATTCCTAGTTAAAATGGGTGTTTTGCGATTCC